CGCTTGGTGGACTATGCCCTGATACCCTCTGTATAGAGGAGGCCTTTGCCCAGCAGTGGGACATGTGTAGGCTGTTCCTTTACTTTACTTTTAAATTAATTTAATTTACTTGTCAATTACTTTAATTTTCATAAATTTCTCTCAGATCAAACTTAATACCGATAATAACTAAGCGAATGATTGTATTTTTAATGTCAGTGAATACATGATTGATAGAGTACACATTGATTGAAGTATAGGTGTGGCCGTGTGAAGTGAGCTAAGGAGATTTCACAAAATGTGTAACAATGATCTAGTATCACCTTTAAAATATAACAAAAAAAACATACCCACACTGTAAAAAACTGAAGCAGGATAAAAATTTCCCAATTAGATATCTAAAAAAGGTATTTATGTTTTTTTAGAAAGGTTTGTGTCGTAGGACACTTACCTTACCACACGGCCTTTTAATGACAGATTAGCGGACTTTTCAAAATTATTAAAGAATAGAAATCATTATTGCGCCTGCGCTTTCCACCAGATGAAATTAATTACAATTACAATATTACAAATACACTTACTAGAATCGATTTTCCGGGAATCGATTTAGGGATGTGACGCGATTCGATTTTTGTGAAGATCGGATCTTGGGCTGGGTTATACTTGCTAAATCGCGTACCAGGGCTTAAAAGTACGTCCACATTCTCATACCAGGTGCAAAAACTTGCTATCAAAATAGTTTCAAAGTATTTTATGTCTAACGCAACGAGTCAAATACTTGCTTCTTGAAACTTTAGCTTGCATAAGTTACAAATGTAAATGAAATGTCAGTACTATACTACTTTACAACTCATTATTGCTCTACATTTTATATTATCACTATTAGCGACTTTTGTATCCCCAAAATTGCTCTTTTAAACCGACTTCAAAAAGAAGGAGGTTATCAATTCGGATGTTTATATTTTTTATGTATGTTCGGGCGTAACTCCGTCATTAGACGGATTTGCAAAATTATTTTTTGTTGCATTGTTTTGTTCAATCACACAACATAATATCGTATTTATACAATTAATACACTGTTTTCGCATTCTTAGCTATCATGAGTGCATTGTAAGCGTCTACTTGTCTGACAGTGGTTTTTTTTTTATTTAAAGAGTTGCCAAGCGAGCAGGCGGTTTACCTGACGTTAAGTGAATACCGCCGCCCATGGACATCTGCTTCACCCGAGGGTTGCAGATTCGTTGACAACCTTGTGAAAATTGGGCTACGGCTACCTCACTCACCAGACGCAACGCGAAAGTATTTATTATACTTCCACTTTACGCCGGTTTTCTGTGAGCTAGTTGTACTTACCCGGACGACCCTGCCCATTCGTGCAATAGCCAAGGCTGCTGCGTGGCCCTACCAGAGTTCCCCTGCGTTCAAACTGCAACTGCATCGGAAAATCGTATCAACAGTATTCCTTGACGTTCTTAAAGCAATTCAAGTTGAGCCGTTGTCAAATATTTGTAAATAAACATATAGTCAAACGATTGCGTATTAAACTACGACAATTGTAATTTTCTTGATTTTCGTCATTTAACCTACGTAACACTAACATATAGGGTATTTTAATAGTCTATTTTCGCGCTGGTCAGGTCTCCCATTTGAAATACTTAGAGATTTTCTTCCTCATTTGCTTTTTCAGTCCCGGTTTCAGTTTGACGCAGTTTTCTCATAAGAGCAGTGTCTTTGCTAGATCTACCCATATTTTATAATACTTAAGTATTAAAATTAAATCACTAAAAAAAAGTATTTAAATTAAAAAAAGAACCGACTTCATAAAAGTCTATTAGCACTAAAAAGTTTCCAATAATACTAAATCGAATATAATCAAATCTTCAAAGTCAAAAACAAATCATTCTCGTAACTTTGTTACACAGTTTTGGTGGATTAGATTTTTAGCAAGGCGTTACGGTGTACAACCATTACTCATAGTGAACAATGGCACCGACTCCAAAAATTGTTAAATTATGTTAGAGGTTTGGTTACGTTACATTGGTTTGATTTTCAAGATTTGATTATATTAGATTTAGTGTAATTTTATTCTATAATTTAATGTTTCTTCGTTGACTACGCAAAAGCTTTCGACAGCATTCACCATACGGCTCTTTTTAGGGCACTAGAACAACAAGAAATAGAACCAACTTATATCCAACTGCTCAGAAACATATACTCCATTAGTACAGCTTCGATAAAATTGCAAACCCCAGGACCGTCCTTCCGAATAGAAAAAGGAGTAAAACAGTGAGACCCACTATTTCCGAAATTCTTCATAGCAGCGCTAGAAGAAGTTTTTAAAAAGCTGGCGTCTAGCTTGAGAGAGCAGGGCATTGTCGTTGGCGAGCGGAGATTAACGAATCTCCGTTTCGCTAATGACATTGCTCTCTTCTCTTCGTCACCCTGCCAAATGGAACAAATGCTACAAGAGCTAAACGCGGCGAGCTGCGAGGTTGGACTAAATGTAAATATGTCAAAGACCAAAGTCATGACGAATAGCTACATGCAAAGAATGAACATAGATGGTGTAGATATTGAACATGTCCATGAGTATATCTATTTGGGCCAAATAATCTCCTTCCAGGCAAGACAGGACAAAGAGCTGACACGCTGAATAGACAATGTCTGGAGTAATTTTTGGTCCATGAAAGAGCTGATGAAGGGCCACCTCCCGATAAAACTAAAGAGGAAACTCATGGACATGTGCAATCTCCTCATTCTCACATATAGTGCACAAACATGGTCTTTGACAAAGTTGCAGAAGTCCAGATTCGCGGTCTGCCAGCGGGCTATGCAGTATGCTAGATCTAAAGCTTACAGACCGCGTAAGAAATGACACACTGCACTCCCGAATGCGACTTTCCGATGCGGGCTAAAAAGCTGCCAAGCTTAAATTTGACTGGACTGGTCATGTCTGCCGCTTGCCAACACCTTTTGGGCCAAAGCTACTACCGAATGGGTCCCACAAAATATTAGACGGGCACGCGGCAGGCTCAGACGGAGATGGCGCGACGAACTGGACGCATTTGTGAGGGATTGGTCCGATATAGCCCACGACAGGAAGGAGTGGAAGAAATGGAAGGAAGCCTTTGCCCAACAGTGGGACACTAATGGCTGATAAAGTACAGTAAAGTATAATTTTATACTTTTTAGTTGCTTTTTTTGTTAAAAAGTGTTTTTCTCTGCTAATTTAACAATTTTCGTCGGACGAAGCTAGATTCAAATCGCCTTTCAAAATTGCTGTTTTTGAAAAGCTTAAAAATTGTAATTCAATTTTTATAATATTATATTATATTATATTATAAATTAAATAATATAATATTATAAAATTGAATTACAATAAAATATGTAAAATAAGACGAGCCGTGATAGCTCAGTGTCCGGGCGCTCGCCTTTAATTCAATATACTCGAGCAACCTGAGTTCGATCCCCGGTGCCGGCACCAATGAAGTTTTTAACTTTAAGTGCTGACTTATCACGTGCTCCGCGGTGAAGGAAAACATCGTGAGGAAACCTGCATATTTTCGAAATAATAATAAAAAAAAATTCGAAGATATGTGAAGTCCGCCAATCCGCAGTGGGGCCGCTTTGTGGACTATAACCTGATACCCTCTGTCCAGAGGAGGCCTTTGCCCAGCAGTGGGACATGTATATATTGATACATACGTTCATTTCATACATTTATTACGTCTGCGGAGTAAACGATATCGTATCGTATACATTTCTTCTTTTTTTTCTCCTAAAAGCGTATAAAAAAGTAAAGGCGAAAAAGGCAAAGGCCTCCTCTGTTCGAATTTTTTTTAATTATTATTTCGAAAATATGCCGGTTTTCTCATAACGTTTTCCTTCACCGATGAGCACGTGATAAATCAGCACTTAAAATTATTAATTTCTTTTGTGCCGGCACCCGGGATCGAAATCAAGTTGCTCGAGTATATTGATTTAAAGGCGAGCGGGCGGGCGAGGCCCCGGACACTGAGATATTAGGATAAAATCCTATATATATACGCTAGATCCCTTGGTACAACTTCAAGGGATGTAGCGTTCAGTGACTAATATAATATCAAATCAATAAAAAAACGTGTTTTAACAGTCCACCAAAACTTTTAAATCTAATATTTTTCACCATCCATCGACTTAAAAACAATAACTTTAGCTCTGAGTTGTAGGGGTCCCTACTACTGAAAAAAGGTGTTCGAAAGGAAACCTTGTAACCACAATTGTCAAGTGACTCGATATTTTGTTAGGATATTTCCATTATTATTTGTAGAAAAAGTACGAAAAGATTGTCGCCGCTGTGGGAATCGCACTCACGTCTTCGGCATTCGTGGCCTGACGCTTTAGCCACTAAACTAAACGGCTGAATGCCATGCCGACGTTAATCTTAACGTCTTTTATCTACATTGTTTATTGGCATTTGAAGTAATGCTTGGCGCATCTATTGTTAGATCCTTTACAGCATACAAACAATTTCGAATATCGTTTTACAATGATAATTCGAACGAGAGAACGATATTTCCAGTTGTTTTTTCGATTTCGATAGTTTTGGACGATGATATATCGATATACGTCGGTTTTGTGATAAATCGTTTCTATTTATTTATTATATTTTATCGTCAGTTTGTCAGTTGAGTTGACTGATTGACACTGACAGTTCTTCATTCACAGACACACGTTTTCAACGCGTACCTACCTGTTTAAGTGTTTAGTGTATGTTGTTCAAAGAGTACTTTTATATATCTGATCAAAGAGTACTTTTATATATCTGATCAAAGAGTACTTTTATATATCTGAAATTTCTGTATCTGATGTTGTTGTTGTCTTGTCGTTGCTTTAGGGTTTTGGAACAAACGACTTTATTGATATTCTACGAAAATTTAGTCGATTGTATCGCAAAGAAAGTACAATATATTATATGAAATAGTTGCAAAAAGCAAACATCAATTTATTATTCTCTTTATTTTTTCTCTACTGCTTTCACTATGTCGATCGAAATAGAATCTGCCGAGTAAGTAAGCCTTATTTATTTATTTTAAAAATGGAATTATTTACCTTACGTTTATATCAAAGATCGATTATATACTTGACAAGTATATAATCAAAGAAATCAAGTCAACACCTATAATACAAAATTTCCTTTCAGTGTGATCAGGTTAATACAACAGTATTTAAAGGAGTCCAATCTCACTAAAACATTGCAAACCCTTCAGGTTAGTGAAATATATTTTTTGTATTTCTCAAATATTTGTAATATATAATGAAATATTTTAATTTCCTGTTCAAATGAATCATGTAGAAATAAAAGTAAAGATACATCATAGCGAATTGTCTGGGCGCTCATTTTTATTTCAATATACTCAAGCAACCTGAGTTCAATCCGGTGTCAGTATCAATAAAATTGTTAATTTTAAGTGTGACGTGACGTGTAAATATTATTTTTTCATTGTAAATGTATAGTTCAGATATGTTCATAAATAAATATTGCGTAAATATTTAAGAAACGAATGCTATATAAACGCGTCCTCGCCGTTTCTGTTACCTTGCCATCATCCAAATCATTCAGTTACTTGTTAGTTGCACCTAACGAAGCTTTACTTTAATTATTTGAAAATATGTGTAGTCCACCAATCCGCAGGTTGAATGCGTGGTAGACTTTACTTAATTCCCTCTATATAGTTTTATCCTCTATACAGTGGTGGTCTTTCCCCAGCAATGGGACATGTATAGGCTGTTACTTTACTTTTATATAAGTTATATAGTTTAATAAAACATTTAATAATATACATCTAATTTCATTTCTTTAAGGAAGAAACTGGTGTATCACTAAATACTGTAGACAGTGTTGATGGCTTTTGTGCAGACATTAATAATGGTCATTGGGACACTGTACTAAAAGCCACAGCATCACTTAAACTCCCAGACAAAAAGTTGATGGAGCTATATGAACAAGTAGTGTTGGAACTAATTGAGCTTAGAGAACTCGGAGCTGCTCGCACAATTTTGCGTCAGACCCAACCCTGTCAACTTATGAAGCAACATGAAACTGATCGCTATATGCATCTTGGTACTTGTTTATTTTTTTGTTAAGACTTGTTTAATCTATTAATATAATAATAAATAATATATATAAAATGGTGACTACTACTATATAAATAGTCACATCTGTAACTCAAAAAGCATTGTATATAGCATGAATCTGCAATAGATTTTCGATACTTATCCCTAGTGGTAGCGCCACGCAACATTTCGTTGTTGCACGAATAGTTGGTCCGTCTAGAGTAGTACCATAACCTCATAGAAGACCGCTGTGGAGTGGAAGTGTTATACTTCTGCGTTTCGTCTGGCGAGTGAGGTAGCTGGGGCCTACTATGGGTGTGGCAAATGTCCATGAACAGCAGCTGTCACTATACATCAGGTGAACAGCCAGCTCGCTTGCCACTTTCTAAAATTATGGCTGACATTATAGTTGCAGTAAAAACTTCTTTTAGTAAAAATATACATCTTAATAATAAAGAGTTGTCATTTACTGGATTATTAAAATGCTTCAATTATCTGGACATTCAGGTGTTTTGTTCTACCTGAGTGTTAAGATGGATTGACATCTTTATTGTCAAGGCTTAGCATACTTATTCCAACATGAGCCATCATGTCTAAATATGTATAAAACATTATATTTATATATGTTATAAATTAAGCTGTAAAGTACAAAATATGTTATATAATGTTTTATATATGTATAAAACATTATATATTTTTTGTACTTTACAGCTTAATTTTGTTGTGAAATCGTGTTTGTCTGATGGGGGTCATGGGTTAAATTGTATGTGTGCAGAAAACCTGCTCTCCCGGTCTTACTTCGACCCGCGGGAGGCGTACGGCGCAGGCGGCGGCAAGGAACGGAGGCGAGCGGCGCTGGCGGCGGCCTTGGCGGGCGAGGTGTCCGTGGTGCCCAGCTCCAGGCTGCTGGCGCTGCTCGGCCAGGCGCTGAAGTGGCAGCAGCACCAAGGCCTCCTGCCGCCCGGTGCGCATTCGCAATAACGTTTTGATGCGATTACTTTCTAAATTTAACTGCCGAATTGCTTAAGACCCTTGAGACCTTTTCGTTCCCCGTATTCTCCGCGTTCAAAAAAAACAATGCCTAGGGCAGTATAGTATACATGTTAGCAGTGGTGGTGCAAGAAATAAATACGAGAGCGTCAAAAAAATTATTAAAATTAAGAATTTTTACTTGTTTTACTGTTGCAGCAAACAATCGCTGATTTATTTACGATCACTATCTAAATCATATTTCTGGTTACTGAGTCCGCACATACTTGGCAAAATGAATGGAAAGCAAGCAAAGCAAAAAGCAAAACTAGTTCAACTCCTTTTTTGAATATTAAAGTATTCACAGCCCTGCCAGATATAGTTTGAAAAATAATAATTGTTTTGAAATAGTGAAGTAATAAATAGACTATATTATATGTCCCATTGCTAAGCAAAGGCTTCCTCTGTACAGAGGTTATTAGAGTGAAGTCCACCACACAACCCCACTATGTATCTTCCAAATATTTTTTTGGTATTATTTCAAATGTTTGCGATTTCCTCAGCTATAAACGAAAACATGGTGTAATTAAATAAATTAAGTTACACCTTTGCAGCTGCCCGCTAATTCGCTAGATGGCAGCGTATTCTTCTGAATCATATTCGTCCGGTACGATAAAGAATGTAGATGGCGCTTTCATAATTTTATTATTTCGTTGTAATTAATTATTAGCATGTGATTAAAAATTATTTTTAATGATGTCAGAGAAGTATAACTTCTCACGCGCATACAGAAGTACACGCACCCATTTTTTTTTTTGCAGGAACAACAATTGATTTGTTCCGGGGCAAGGCAGCCATCAGAGACGAAGAGGATGACCAGTGCCCCACACAACTTTCGAAAATAATCAAGTTCGGCCAAAAGTCGCACGTTGAGTGCGCAAGGTATTTTAAAATACTATGTTTAAGAACTGTGATTCGTGTTTAATTTTATCTCATATTTATAGATTGCAATAGTATTGTGTACGAGCTACGCTCGACATAATTATTACGAAACGGCGTCAATTGCACGCCTCATCATTTTTGTTGTGTTCTAAAATAATCGGCATTAAATTCGCAGTTCGCTGTCAGTCATCAAGCATGTCACGCGTTCTCATCTATCAGTATCAAGTTGTTTATTAATTTTCGGACAATACAGTTTTTAACTTATATCAAGAGTGTTTTATATCAAGTTCTAGGAAACCTAAATTCCTACATATTAATTGAAGTTCAAACAAAACATATAGCAGTAGGTACCTCACAGAAGATACTTTGGATGATGTGTACTGTAAAGATTAAACTTAAAAATTCGTCTCTATCTAAAATTTAAACAGATTTATAAAGTATATTATGAAAAATTTCTGAAAGAAAATTAAAATTAACTATTAATCCTTACTAATATTATAAAGGCGAAAGTTTGTACATATGGATGGATATTTGTTACTCTTTCACGCAAATACTTCTGAATGGATTTTAATGAAACTTAACAATAATATAGCTTATACATCAGAATAAGACATAGTCTATAATTTATATACATATTTTATGTATATCAAGTCCTTCTGTCTGAATGTTAAGCCTTCAGCCTATTCTACGCAGACGTAGTCGCGGGTAGCATCTAGTTTTAAATGGTTTCGACATATAGCTGAGTTTGCATATCCATAGATTTTCGCCTGACGGGCAGTATTTGGTGACGGGGTCAGTGGACGGATTGGTGGAGGTTTGGAACTTCACTACGGGCAAGATCCGCAAGGACCTACGCTACCAGGCGCACGACGAGTACATGAGCATGGAGGAGGCCGTGCTGAGCCTCGCCTTCGGCCGCGACAGCGACACCCTCGCCGCGGGCTCCATCGACGGCAAGATCAAGGTGCGCGGCTACCGGCTCCCAGGCGGGGCTTTGCTCTAGTGTAGTAGCAGTGACCGCAGTGCTTTCTTTGCGCAGGTGTGGAAGGTGTCCAACGGGCAGGTGCAGCGGAAGCTGGACCGCGCGCACACCAAAGGCGTCACCTGTTTGCAGTTCACGCGCGATAACACACAGATCCTGTCCGCATCGTTCGACAGGACCATACGGTGAGCAACCGTGCCAAGCGACCGTTGGCGATTTGTGGAGAGAAAGAGCATGAGTTTATTCGGTTGCGACAGGATCCACGGACTGAAGTCGGGCAAGCTGCTGAAAGAGTTCCGCGGGCACACGTCGTTCGTGAACGAGGCCGTGTTCACGCCGGACGGGCACGGCGTGCTGAGCGCCTCGTCGGACGGCACGGTGCGCCTGTGGAGCGTGCGCACGGCCGAGTGCACCGCCACCTTCAAGCCGCTGGGCTCGGGCGAGCCGCCCGTCAACTCGCTGCTGCTCACGCCCAAGAACCCCGAGCACTTCGTGGTGTGCAACCGCACCAACACGGTGGTGATCATGAACATGGCGGGGCAGATCGTGCGCTCGCTGTCGAGCGGGCGGCGGGAGGCGGAGGGCGGCGCGCTCGTGTGCGCCGCGCTCGGCGCGCGCGGCCGCCTCGTCTACTGCGCCGCCGAGGACTTCGTGCTCTACGCCTTCTGCGCCGCCAGCGGCAAGCTCGAGCGCACCATCAACGTAAGCGGGCCCCTACTGCACTGGCACTGCCGCTCTGCCGCCGTCTTATACCCGTCTCTTCCACAGATCCACGAGAAAGCGGTTATCGGCATGACACATCATCCGCACCAGAACCTGCTCGCCACGTACAGCGAGGATGGCCTGTTGAAAATCTGGAAGCCTTAAGAAAATGCGCTGGGACTAAACGCTCTCCTATTATCTTTATACTTGTACCGACAATGATGGGTACCGAGTTGTAACTCGTTGTGTACATATAGGTGTGAGATAAAGTTAGTGTGTACGATTTTGAATAAAGTTTGATAGAAAGTATTCGATTTATTTGGTGATATCCGGAGTCTAAAAGAGGCGGGCGTCGAGGTCCTTGGGCAGCGCGGGCGGCGTGCGGCGCGCGTCCGCCAGGTAGGGGTGCAGCAGCGCGGCGCGCGCCGACACGCGCTCGGCGGGCTCGTAGCGCAGCATGGCCTCGAAGAGGGCGGCGGCGTGCGGCGCGGCGCGCAGCGGCTCGGGCAGCAGCAGGCCGGCGGCGCGCGGCGGCCAGCGCGGGAACGCGGCCCGGAAGTCGGGCAGCCGGCGCGCGCCCGGCCACAGCGCCTCGCCCGGCGTGCCCAGCGCCCGGAACACGCGGAACAGCTGGTCGATCTCGCTGTCGCCCGGGAACAGCGTGCGCCCGCTCGCCTGCGACCCACCCAACCGCACCGATATACAACACGCTAATGAGGGTCGCGAACGCCAACGACGGTATTACCATTTCGGCGTAGATACAGGCCAGGCTCCACACGTCGACTGCGGTGGAGTAAAACTTAGCGCCCAGTAGGATCTCGGGCGCGCGGTACCACAACGTTACCACTTCGTGGGTATATGCTCGCACGGGGATACCGAATGCTCGCGCCAGCCCGAAGTCTGCAAGCTTGATGCGGCCCGCCGCGTCCACCAGCAGGTTCTGAGGCTTAAGATCACGGTGCAACACGCGCCGCCCGTGGCAATACGCTAGCCCTTCAAGCAGCTGCTTTAAGTAGCTCTGCAATGGGTAATAATCAAATTATCAAAAACTTGAACCCACAATGACTGGTAGTCGGAAAAATAACTTTATATCCTTACGCTTACCCTACCAAAACACACTCTTTGCAATCTCTAAGTTTGCTGCGTCTAAATGTTGGAATGACTTGCCCCTCCACTTCGTAACATCTACTCCTTAAGTGCCTCCAAAATAAATGTCGATTTTATTTTGGAGGCACTTAAGATTTTGATGCAGCAATTATTGGCTTCAAGTACCCAGTATTTTAAATATAATAGTTAATAGTTATTAATTGGATAGTTATATTAATAGTTAATGTACAATAATTAGTACCTATTATAAAGCATGTTCTTTATGTAAATTATGTCTGGCTAGGACAGAATATCAAAGTTGGTGTACCTTCCGTGCTACAACTTTGAGTCCTTGATCTATTTATGTTACTCTTTAAATATTTTGTGCAGTGTATGCATATTTAGACAAATAAATGATTATTATTTATTTTTCTCAGGTATGAACTGGTGATATTAAGTTAACACGGGCTTTAACCAAGTGTTAACTTAAATTTGGGTGGTTGGTAACCTAAATTGTGGGGATGAACATTCATTATCAGAGCTAAGTTGAAGAAATTTTCGTTCGATGCGGCACATGTTAAGTATGGCAGCTTTTTGTAAAGTACATAACTTTAATATGTGTTTAAGTAGGTCTAGTAGTTCAAGAGAGTTATGCAAGGCTTTAGGTATAACGCCCGTAGTAGATAAGATTATAGGTACTATAGAAACTCTGTCCAATTTCCAGACTCTTCTTATCTCTTCCCGTAATTCGGTGTATTTTCTTATTTTTTCGGTGATGGTTTGATTAGATGGTTCCATATCATGTAGAACCAAACTACTCAGATATTTTATTAAATAATTAATTAATTACCTTAACAAGATCAAGATCAAGGGGTCCTTTTGTTAGATCCATGAGACGTTTGAGATCCATGTGTAGGAATTCAAATACGAGAAAAAGCTTGGTATCTGCAAGGAGGACGTCCAAAAGACGCACTACTGATGGATGGTTAAGGTCACGTAGCACAGAGATTTCACGTAATGCTGTTGAAGGTACCCCTTCTGGTTCACTGTAATCAGTAAGAAACTGAAAATTACTCTTTAAATTAGAGATTATATTAAATTATACAATGGATATAATACCCTAAAACAGATAATGTCTAACATATATAAAAAGTAATCACTTGACCACTAGTATACAAGACTTACACCTAGCTTCTGAAACACTGATCATAACAGAAGTCAACTAATCAGTTGTCAAAGGGCTTTTCAAATCTCATTTCAGTTGTCAAATGATCTGAATGATCTTCTCAATGATCAGAATGATCAATTCAAACTTTTTAACCATCCTTTTGGCAACTCAAATGGCATTCGAAAAGTCAAAACATTCATACAATAGGGAAAAAGCTGCTGTGGGGTCTACCATAGTAAGTATAATACACAATTGGTTAATAAATGTCAAAAAATGCTAAAAATCAACCATAACATGCTAAATATTAATTTTGCACAGCAACTGAGTCTTGCCATTGGATGACTCAAGGTGCAGATCCTAAGTCATTGGCACTTGGGGTTGTGGGTTCGATTCTCACAAGGTAACCCACAGATAATAGTCCCAGATCTGCATATTTATTTTATGGTATTTTTTGTTATTTTTATGTTTGTAAATGTACCCAAAACTATTAGCAATATCCTTTACATGTTGTACTAACCCCACCTAGATGGGATTAAGGATAGGAGAAAAGATATTTTATGCCATTGATAAGTATGTGATAAAAAGGATGACATATTATTTACAATATACGTACGTGAAGCGATAGAAGGCTAGTAAAGAGAGGAAAGATTATTTAATGTGAAAAAAGTACGAAAAAATGATATTTAAACTGCCTTCCAAATTTATGAAAAGTAGGTAAATTAAAAAGCACAAAGATTTATGGAAAACTGGAGCCAAGTGATCTTGAATAGAAAAGACGGAGTCCTACAATGTCCTAATCATAAAAGAGTATCACAACCACATTATATCTCGATACATTTTAGAGCTTAATTTGTAAATAAAACCAGCTGAGGGTTGTCAAAATTTCGCGCCAAAACTTACTTTTCGAGTTTTATCTTTTTTAATGCTATTTCCTTCCCTGTGATTCTATCTCTTGCTTTATACACTACACCGTATGTTCCTTCCCCTATTTTCTCTACCTTGGAAAAGTTCTCCATAACACTTATACTAATTAAAACAATAAATTAAAAATTCTTATCTTTACTGTCAATTCAACGTCATAGATTTTTAGAACAGCGAACAGTTTAGTTTCAGTGTTTCAATACATAATACATATGTATCATCGGTATCATCTATGGATAAGTACAAGGCTAGACATGTGCCCGACATGTCAAAACGTAATTGAAAACGGTTATACGGTATATAACGTTTGATATGGATTTATAAAACTTTGTTTTAGATATCACACAGACTGAAACTTCACTTTCTAACATGTGATTGCCATAGTGGCGAAAAGAGTTGGAGTGAATAGAGCACCGTTAGGTTATTTTTGGCGATCATATTTTCATACTGATAACAAACTTTAATTAAATGGAAATAAAAAAATAAAATGGAAATAATATCTAATTTTGAATGATTAAAACATGTAGAAAAAAGTAATGATTTATTTCAAATGAGCCACCCACCCCGGCTTCGCACGGGTGCTATGTATCATTACATAGTATAAAACAAAGTCTTCCCGCTGTCTGTCTGTCCCTATGTATGCTTATAACTTTAAAACTACGCAATGGACCTTGATGCGTTTTAAGCTATTGCGTAGTTTTTATCGCGGGCTTTGAGCGCGGCGACGGAATCAAGAATTCTTGTTGCAGTAAACTTGAAACATGTTTTGAATCGTATAGAACTATGCTCTGGAGAATCAATTTATAAGTATCTGACCGTAGATTTCTGTTATTGATGTCTTTTACCTAAGAGGTATTTTCATATAAATATTCTTGATTTTTATTCCAAATTACTCTTTGAACTGTGCAAGCTTAAAGAAATTCCCTTCTAGCAAACATGTTGAGTATATTTTTCCTATTCAAATATGAATGTGATGAATTCTCTCCAGAGTATGCTATAATAAATAATACATGCGTTTTGTACTCTTTGTATCTCTCATATCAATCAATCTGCTTTAGAGTTTAACCTATGAATGTGGGTCGAACACAGTGACAACACCAGCGACTCAAATAGATGAATTCGGAGATTTTCATTAATGTATGGTCCAATTTTGTGCGAGTAGACATCAACTGTGGGCTTCTGGTCATTTGAAATTGAACAACCGTAACCAAAGAGGACCTCCATCACCTGTAGGTGGTGGTATTACCTTTTTTTTCTGTTGACGTGGGGGAAATGGCAAATGTCGGACTCGTACCGACTAAAACCCCCACGATGTTCCACCTGGGCGCATATCGTCAGGGCCACGGGAACGCTTTCGCAAACTTCCACGAAGCTGATAGCGCTGGCGGCCCGGGGATCAACTCCCCTCTCCTCCAGGTAAGGCGTGCCACCCAGCGCTCAGCGGCGGACCTAGTTTTTGGCTCCACCGCTGACCACGTTTCTGTTGATTGGTAATCTCAGACTATACATACTCTTTTGATGTCAACTCTGACCTGTTTGGTTTATGTATTATGTTTGAATTACTTTGAATTAAATTTGGAATGTTAGTTTTATTTGTTCAGACTGAATTGTGTCATATTTGATTGATTCCGTAAAAATTGCTTAAAGAAGTATCATGAAGTATCATAACTAGCTATCTAACATAACTTGTATTTTATATCAAAATCAAAAATATATTTATTCACATAGACGCTTGCGCGTTCTTATGGAATGTCAAAAATTTTACATAAAAATTAATACGTTCGTAAGTTACCACCGGTTCGGAAAGCAGTTTTTGTTGAGAAGAAACCGACAAGAAACTCAACAGTTGCTCTTTTTTAAAAAGATTAGCTTACAATAGAACAAGTATGTCATTTTAGCCTACGTATCAACAGCATTAACCCCACACATTGGCGTCGTCAAGATATTCTGCACTGGTATAATATGCCTTAGCCATAAGTTCGCTTTTAATTTTGCGTTTAAATTCATCTAGTGGCAGACTTAATACCGATTGTGGGATTTTATTATACATGCGCACACTTTGCCCCATGAACGATCTATTTACTTTTTTTAGACGAAACAATGGTGTAATTAATTTGTCCTTATTTCTAGTATTTAATTTATATCTGTCACTATTCTTTAGATAACAATTAAGATTGTCTAACGTACAAGATATTACAATAAATATATTGGGACGCAATGAGTATATTATAGTATACGGGCTCCGATGTTATAGATTGCTCGGACAGCTCTTTTTTGAAGAATAAATATAGAATTTATATCAGATGCGCTACCCCACAACAAAATGCCGTATGATAAGATGCTGTGAAAATAACTAAAGTACACAAGTCTGGCAGTCTCGATGTCTGTCTAACCTTCCTAATCACAAAAACAGCGGAGCTTAGCCTACTCGCAAGAGATGATAGATGGGGACTCCACTGAAGCTTTGAATCTACTGTAATCCCCAAGAAGACTGCAGACTCAACAGGATTAAGGGATACGTTATTTAATAATAAACTAAAACTTTGCCTTCTCACACTAGGAAGAGTAAAAAGAATACATTTAGTTTTTTGGCATTTAATACTATATTATTTATGGTGAACCAGTGATATGCGAAAGTGCACCATTTACGTCGTCATAATTGGATAAATTTCGGTCAACCCTAAATATGAGTGATGTATCATCAGCAAACAGTACAACATCACAAAACTCACTGGCATAGGAGGGGAGATTATTTATATACAGCGTGTCGTTACCATCGCGAAAATAAATGAACACACACTACTTGCCAATAATCATAAAAAAATATTAACGTTAAAAAAAAATATATTTTTCAAACCAACTAATTAAGTAAAAAAGAAACAAAATTTGTAACATCCTATACAACTCGCGCCGCAGCGTCGCATTACATGCCTCTCCTTCTAACAGTATGTTTTGTCTCTTTTAAATTCATTCAACCCATTCATATGCTTTGTGACCTTTACAAATGAACTTTACGTTACAGTTTTATACGTAAGGGTTACGTTTTTATACAGTTTTATACCTAAAATTGTTTGTTTTGGATAATTTAATAACTCTGTAAATATTAATGTTTGAAGAATGTAAATGTTTAATACAATTTTAAAAATTTATCCTCTATATGTGTGTTCATTTATTGTCGCGTTGGTAACGACACGCTGTATACTAGAATATTATATAATAATAAATAATAAAAATAATATAAATTCCATAAGGATTACGTTTGGTCAAAAATAAATTCAAAATGTTTTAGTTGAAATAAATAGTTTTCCTATTAGTCCTTAAGTGTCTTTTTGGCTTGTAAGAGATCTCATTAGCCACATCTACCATTAAAGAGTTTCAAGGGCAGGGAGGACGCCGCACCGCAATACCTACGCTCCTCTTCCCCCACGATATAGTGGTGGGGCCACTACTGCATCAAAGGTGCAGTAGTGGTGGGATCGTGGCAGAGTTGCGGAGGATAAGGAGCGCGGCCAACGCAATACCGATCTATCCTACCTACTGAGGACTGAACGTTTTCACTCCACGATTTTTAGGACAGCGTTGGGGTCACATGATTTTATTTTCGTAACTTCAACGTTAGTATGTCTCGTGATTATACTACTTATTTTTAATTGTTCATCTTTCGTTAACAGGAGTCGTGATGATACGCTGAATGGCACGGCGCCATAGGTTCTTCGTCTAATCGAAACAAAGTAGCAGATGCACGACGACTCGTCATGCATCTGCTACTTTGTTTCTCCTTACTCCTTAGTCTGTTGGGTCGTTTACTCGCATACCACTTATGGCGAAACTAACAAAGCCTCAGCGCAGGGCTAACGGCAAACTGACACAAAAATATTTAATCGGCTTTCAAACAAGCTTTCATATACTAGCTAATTGTTAAACGTTAACTGAGAAAGTATCAACGGCCCAGCACCCTAGTAGCACTCCAATCCAACCTAAGATTTTCATTTACGCCTGTTCCTGTTCTTGTGTCAAATACTTGTTACAAAATAACAGCCTGTTATTTCATACTACAGACAATTTGTGTAACTGTTACCACAGTTGATGACTCCGTGGTGCAGATGCCAACGTATTGGCTTCGGCGTTGGGGTTCGTGGGTTCGATTCCCACACAGGACAACTATTTGTGTGAACCGCAGATAGTTGTGATCTGGGTGTTTGTCCACGTGAAATGTATGTTTGTAAAACGTTCTTACAACACAGGATAATGTTATCCTAAAGTTAGGGCAATGTTTTAACAATAATGAAAAAAATAGTAATAGCTGTTACACTATTTTACTCTATGGTAATGTTTTTACTTCTCTTTTTAACAAAGATATAAGACCCATGAAAGAAAAAGAAAGAGCTTGTAGCAGAGACAGTGTTCAGTAACAACTGTGACAGTTTTTATCTCTTTCAAGAAAAGCTTGTGACAGCGTGTTATGGAACAACTTGTGTGGAACAGGAACTGTTATTTAAGTTTGTTCGTAACAGGTACAATCTGTTATCTCGAGATACCTGTTATATTTACCTGTTATTACGATAAACTCACTCTTATTATAGGCAACACCGGATCGTTATAAATAAATTACTATTTTAAATTATGAGTATGACAATTGTTGGCTATAATTAGGTAATAAATTTACAAAATCATATGATTAAAGCAAACATCTGGTTATGGCATTGAGCATAAGAAGTATTACCAATTGCTTAAAATATTACAAGTTACATCTACGTGCTATAATGACTTCACCAACTAAACGTAATAAGGTTGTAGATCAATTGCAAAAAAATCCGTATTTTGAAAAATATGCGGATCGAATTGCTGCTTTGCAAAAAACTTCACCCGAAGAATTTTTAGAGAGATTAGAGAAACAAAATAAGAATAAAGAGGAAGAAAAGAAAAAGAAATTTGGCAGCGTTGATACCAGGTATAATACATGAAACTTCCTCTCCTCAATTCTCCTTCGTATCTTAATTTATTATGATTAACTTTTGTTTGTATTTCAGACAATTCTCCTCTGTCTTGAACCCAAAGAAAGCGTTGACAGATGATATACCAGTAGACGATAAAAAACTTGATACTATTTTTAAATTAGACTTGGTAAAAGATAAAGATGCATCAGAAATACAAAATATTTGGGAAGAATATCATAAAAACAAAGAGGTTATATCAGCTACGATTCCACTAGAACAGTATACTAAACTTCAAAACAAAATGAGAGATTATCCAACATTTATATTTCCCTTGCCTCGTTCTCAGGGATATGAGTTTATTATGTGTCAGTGCTATGGACAAACAGTTCATTTCACGCCTCTTCTTGCATTTCAGGTACATGACTTTGATAATATTATTAAAAGGCATAAAGTTAATATTCTTCTAATAGTATAAAGTTAAAATTCTTCTTATAGGTAAATGGGCTTCCACAACAATACATTAGTATGCCTAATGGGGTTGTTACAACAAAGAATTTTGATTGTATATAGGTATTTATAAGAAATGCTTTAATGTGAGAAGGTGGCAAGTGAGCCATTGGTTCACCAGTGATGTTAAGTTACAACCACCACCTATTGACATTTGCAACTCCTAGTGGTTGCAGATGCATTGCCACCTTTAAATAAAGTGGGACCCAGCTAGGTAGCTTTATTTAAGTCAGGTGACTCACCTGATGAATTGCAAAAATACAACACTTCCACTTCACACCAGTCTTCTGTGAGGTTGTGGTATTTACCCTGATGGACCTACCCATTTGTTCAATGTCGAACACTGTTGCATGACCCTTTCACAATTAGGACCATACTTTGAAATATATAATTTCTGTATTAAAAGTTTTGCATGGGTGCTACTCTGTACAAATAAATGCCTTTGTAGATGAATTTAATTTCATCTACCTGAAGAAAACCCAGGTGGTTTGAGATGTGCCCAAAGGACTTATAAGCGTAACAAATTATGGGCTTCTTGAAAGCCTGTGCCTCTAAAGAAAAAAATTTGCTTTGCTTGACTTGCAGGATTTATGACTGAATGTTACCTAATTATTACCAATTGAAGTTTAAAAATATTAATTCCTTTTTCAGGTACATAAAGAAAATGCTCCTGAATGTTTAACGATGATACACTATACTGAACTAAGATCCAAAGGAATTGTTCTAATGAGAGGAGAGTATGACAAGGTACATTTTATACTATTTGGTTATATAATTAAGACAAAACATTGTTTCTCTAAGGTTTGTTGAATAAACTTTTTATAAAAAAATATTAAAATAGAAATTATTCTAATGGCAATATAATATTTATTTCAGAATGTTTTAAATGGTCAAGAGGCCCAATGCTTGGCAAATCAGTTCCAAATGTATTTTAGTGGAAAAGACCAAGCCAAATTACAGCTTCTGGAAACATTCAATAAAAAGCCAGATTCTTTTAAACATATGGACTTAATTGCAGAGTTAGAAAATATTACCCTTGTTTAAACATAATACATGTGAATGAAATTGTTTGAAATGTTTTATTTTATTTAGCAGTAATATAAGATAATCTTATTATATTATCTTACACTTTGTCACTGATTTAGTTTATGTGGAAAATAAATATAATCAGGAGTTCCATGGAAAAATGACTGAGATGAGTGAGACATATTCAAGGTAGTCAAATTTGAGTTTTGACTACTAATAGAAGATGCAACACTTTCAAATGGTTCACTTTCTTGTCTAGCATATTTCAAGCTTATGTAATTCATAGGACCTTCATGTGTAACTTTTCTAAGTGAAAAATCTGGGATATTTGGCATTTCAATTGTTTCTTTATGTATTTTTTTCTGAATACATTTTAAAATGTTATTCTCAGTTTCATAATGATAACCATCTATATAAAGTTTATGTAAAAAATTTTTTGTTTGTTTCATAATATCATTACCAACTAAAGCAGGTGTCTTTTCCATCAAATATTTTGGCATGCTGTAAATAAATTCTTCGTACAATTTGTGAACATCACTGAACTGAGAGCTTTCAAGAGATGATGCAGTTAAAGATAAAGTTTCTTCTGCTGATGTTTCAAATATAGGGGTCATAGTCATTTGTAAACTAAATGGACTGCACAAAGTAGGGTTGTTTGAGAGGTTGCCCTTATGAAGTATCCAATTTCCCTTACTGCTTGTAACTCTATTACCCATTTCTTCAGTTTTATATTTCCTAGCAATTATTGTGTTATTACTGTGAGGGCATGAATTTTTATTAGTAGTAGTACATAAATTATGTGACTTGCAGCAGTTATTATAAAGAAATTCATTATCTTTATTAATCACTATATTTACATTTGAAACAGTTTGTTTTAAATCGGATAGAGCAGATCTCGTTACAGTTTCAGATCGGACTGCTTTATGAAACAAACCTAATGTTAAACGATTAGCTGCAATGCAACTACTATTCGTTATATATTTTTGTTTATTATTTACTTTTCTTGCAGAATTCGTACAGATATTATGATCACCATCGTTTAATTTTCCGTAGAGTCTATTTCTTAATTCGTTCAGACTTTTTCGAGTTTTTCTTTTCTTCCGCTTAGGCATTAAATCCATCATAAAAGAAAAAAATATTAAAATGTTTCAAGCTGCAGTTATATAGTATGTTTAGAGGTAAATAGTAAATAGAGTTCAGTATTTATGTCTTATCTATGATAGAGTTCAAGCTGCAGTTTTCTCAGTTCTCACAGACACAGACTCACAAATCAGAAATCACAATTGACAGTTCCGTCAAAATTCAGATCCCACCTCTGTACAGGTAATAATAACGTAGTGGTAGTTAACTGATTATATTCTCTTTGGGTAATAATATTGACGATGCAGATAGCTACATGTAGTTGAATTGGAAATTACCAATAGACAGAAAAATATAAAGGTACTTAAACTTGGCAAATAAACAAAATTTTGTATTTTTTTTTATTCGAAAAAGTGGCAAATGAGCCGGCGGTTCATCTGGTGTTAAGTGATAGACGCAGCCCATGGACATAAGCAACACCCGTAGAGTTGCAAATGCGTTGCCACCTTATATAAAGTGGAAGTGGACAAATGATGTTTTTCTGTTGCCGCTATAACAACAAGTCAACAAATACTAAAAGAACAGAATAAAATAAAAAATATTTATGGGGGTTCCCATACAAAAGACATGATTGCCGTTTTTATAGATACGCGAGTTTGAATCGCAATTGTTTATTAATTATAAATGACAACAATTAGTTAAGTTCTTCGCTGTGATAATTCAAAAATTATCACAGCGTGTTTACTGTACTATCGACGTGGTTCCAATCCGAGATTCAATCTCCATCTGAGGGAGGAGCTTTTTATCGTGTCGTTCCTCTTCTATTAGTCGAATTCAATCTTTCGTTAATATGAGTCACGGAGTCACCACTCTCATAATTCGTTTCATACGAAATGTTACGTTATGATATGTCCCGAGTGGATGTTTGTCGCATTTGTGCAATTTCTCGGTGACCCCGGGTACTTCTCTCGTTCTTCGCGCTGCTACGGTACGTTGTTTTTTCGGGCATAACTATCTAGCTGTTAGCCGTACTAACAGAAAACTACACATAACTTTAATACAAGTATAATTTTTTAAAAAAAAAAAAAAAACGACTTCAATCAGGAAACGAAAAATATTGCTAATACCTATAACATTCAATGAGGGCCCTCGATTTCTCTGGGATGCCATCATTAGATCCGGGTTTCCTTATCATGGTACCACCCTTGGGATATCTCCTTTTCGACAAAAACAGAATCATTAAAATCAATTCATAAACGACGAAGTTATCCACGAACACATATAAAAATAAATAAAAATGTATACGGTCGAATTGAGAAACCTCCTTCTTTTTTGAAGTCGATAAAAAAGAAAGAAATAATTCTATAAAATACTTACTAACACGGTACTAGAAATGTATAATGACTAAATATTTTATAAATTTCTAATAATATGCATTAATCACTTGTAAAATAATAAAAAAAAACAGTCAAATTTTATATAATATTACGCGTATTAGACAATTCGTAATTTTTTTATTACTACAATTTCCTGTTTAAATAATTACTGTCTTTCCAATTATTTATCTGTTCCTCTAGCAATTCTAGATGTGGTAAAGTGACAGTTTAAATAAATCAAAAAAAAAAAGGAGATGTGTACATAATTACAAAAGAATCATTATTTGAGTTTTAATTATTTTTTTTAATAATCGCTAAGATAATTATGTTTAATTAGATATACCTTTAGAATTTATGCAAAGGTGAGCACTTTTTTATGTGTTTGTTTTGTGAACGTCGAAAATATTTTTAATTTTAAGAAATCAACAATATTTTACAAGTTTAAAATTTGTCCTTAACATTTACAACGAAAAGTTGACACATATCAAATAAAATAGACTATTATCAATACTCAATACCAAGCTCAATTTACAAATGCCCTTCCATTACCTCAGTTTTTTTCTGGTGAGGCCATAGCAATATTAGAGGCACTACTATTTGCAGAATCACATAAACTAGCCAAACTGCTTATTTTGACAGACTCCCTTAGCTGCCACCAGGCCCTTAAAACTAGTTCATTTTATAAGAGTAATAGTCATCAATAAATAATCCCAACATAAAAAGTGAAATAAAAACTGTAAAACTGCAAATACTTCTGTTTGTGTAGTATTTGTATTTTAAAGTGTTAACTGGTTATTTAATATTAAATCAGTTGTGGACAAAAATAAATGTTGATCTATTTTGTACAAATGCTGTGGATGAACATTTTACTTCAAGTTTGTCAATGATTGTTAAAAGTGCTAAGCGCGAACAGAGCCATGTGGTACGGCGCGGGTGCATCGCGGTGAGGACGGCGGGGCGCGACGTGGCATGGCGGAGCCCGAGCCAGCCGGCCTCGGCGACGCCGTGCTGCTGGCGCCGCTCACCGAGGATTCCTTTCTTCACAACCTGCATGTCCGCTACAAGCGCGACATCATATACGTGAGCGCATGCACCCTTCAGAGAATGCATCCCCTGCCATAACTCATTACGAAAACTCACGGCTCGCCTATCTCCTTGCAGACTTATGTGGGCAATGCTCTGGTTTCGGTGAACCCGTGCCGCGCGCTACCGCTCTACTCCACCGAGTTGGTGCGCACCTACCTAGCCCGTCCACCTTACCTACTGCCTCCGCACCTGTGAGTCGGGAACCACCTCAACTCGGCTTTTAATGTGTGCGCATAAAGTGTGTAATTTAATGGTTGTTGTAGGTATGCAATCACGGTGACCGCGTACCGATGGGTGCGAGACAGGAACGAGAGCCAGTGCATCGTGATCACGGGTAAGATATATGTAGAGCCCTAGCGGTCGGTTGCAGCCGCACACCGGTCGCAAACTCACTGTCATGGAGGCATTGCATTTGGGCTTGGCAGGGGAGAGCGGCGCGGGTAAGACGGAGGCGGCGCGCGTGTGCCTGCAGTGCGCGGTGGTGGCGGGCAGCGGCGGCGCGGGCGGCGGCGGCGTGGGCGGGGCGGGGGGCGCGGGGGGCGCGCTGGCCGCCGCGGGCACGCTGCTGGAGGCCTTCGGCAACGCCGCCACCGCGCGGAACCACAACGCGAGCAGATTCGTGAGTTTCTCCTCCGGTGCACTTATAGTATTTTTGTAACATGGCCAGGTTACATTAGTTAAATTTCAAACTATGTTATGTAAATGCATCAAATGTATTGTTCTGATTGTAAACCAAATAAATAACATGTCTTCGGTTTGATTCTGTTCCAGGGAAAACTCTTGGACATTGAATTTGATTATAAGGGAGAGCCAGTAGGTGGCCACATAACACATTGTGAGTAATTTAAATTTTTAGAGTGCTAATCTCTGTACTTAAGATGAAACACTAAAGTTTGTAGAAAAAAAGAGCGAAATGCTTTTTACCGCTGTGGGAATCAGCCGTTAATGCCCAAAGTGTCTGCGCGTGAATCTGGAAGGCGTGAGTAGGATACCCGCAATGCCCAAAAAGAAAATTTTCAAAATTTCATCTTAAGTGCAGAGATTAGCACTATAAATATTTAATTATTGATTATGTCAAGTTATTATTGGAGATCAACTCTAGTTCTCCTGTTAACATGATTAATGAGACGGTTTTCCCATGCATGCAGACCTCCTGGAGAAGGTAATAATACCCCTCCTTTATAAGGATTTAGTTCACTTGCAGAATTAGTACTGCTACTGAATATTCATTATATTAAAACACACACATATATATATATATATATATATATATATAAGGACATGTTTGCAAATCTAATATATTAATGTTTAGAAAAGGCAGTTTTAGTATAGATAATGAATAACGAATGACAATGACAGGTAATACAGGTCATTTTTTTACAGTGAATAGGGTTGCCAACTGTTTTTGACAAAAATAAAGTATTCCATTTTTATAAAACTAAAGTATTCAAAATTTTATTTTATCTTTTTAAGATTTATTTTTTTATGATTCTAGCATTTTTGCTAGTTTAAGTATTTAAGTAGTTTTTCACTATAATTAAATTTTTGTAAGCAATCTTTACATTCCCAATTAAAATGAAGTAGTAAATCATTTTTTATTACAGTGAAAATTTGTGAGAACACATAGTAGTACACACAACACTGGAAAATTATCATATAAGAAAAAAAGTGATAAAATTTTTTAGGGAAAAAATGTTTGTGTTAAATCATATGATATAACTAACAGCAAAAGCTTCTAATTTGAAAGCTTCTTTCTGTTTTAACTTAGAATTATTTATAAAAATTCAGTAATCTCTATTTATAAAAATGAATCGCTGAATGTGTTGCTAAGCTCAAATCTCGAGAACAACTGAACCAATTTTGCTAATTCTTTTTTTATAATATTCCTTGACGTACGGGGATGGTTTTTACCGAGAGAAAAAATTTAAAAAAATGCCTGAAATAGTCTAAAAACAACACTTCTATATTCCCATACAAAAGATTCGTAATAATACTTAAAAGTTAATTCGAACTTTATACTATATCATAAAGTTAAGTGTTAGTGGAGGGGTTCCAGTTAGGCAAAGCAATTGAGTGACGTTAGTATTGTATAAATATTAATGTCAATATTTATACAATGGTGAAATTACTCAAAACTAAATTGTCTATGGTAAAATGTGAATTGTCTGTGATAAAATGTAACTTGAAATGTAAAAGTCTTTTTGATGTTCATCACTACATAGTCTAAAACAATGTCGACCCGCTGTCTGTCTGTGCGTTACTCTTTAAAATTAATCTTTAAAATCTTTAAAATTACGCAACGGATCTTGATGCGTTTTTTTTTTTAACTAGATAGAGTGATTCAAGAGGAAGGTTTATATTTGTAATACATTGCCCCCATTCGAAGCCGAGGCGGGTCGCTAGTTATTCATATAGGTATGTACATACATTGTACGTTTTATTATATGTATCACAGTAAATATTTAAAATAGAGTATTTTTACATACTTTTGTTTTATGCAAAAGTATAAAGTATATTCACAAAAAATAAAGCAAGATACTTTATTAAAAAGTATGTTTGGCATCCCTAACAGCGACCTACAAATTTATTTGATAAAATACTAGATAAAAAAATAATATAAGCTTATGTTTTTGATTTTTTGTTTTCAAAAACCTCCCTTAACTCTTATATTACTATACATTAAAAACACGACACTTTCACGAACACTTCATGTTCTAAACAAATGAATGTAAGTTTAAGTAGTAAATTTTTGTTGATAAATGATCTAAAACTTTCGGCACTGCGGGATTGGAACCTGTGTCTTTTGTGTTTAGTAACAAACACTAAAAATTACTACTCGAAACTAATGTTAAGAAAATAAATGTCTAAAAATTTAATTAAAGTATCGAGTTGTGTCATTTTATTCAAAAATTGTCCGCTTCGCGCACGGCTCACACACAGCAAAGTTGTGAATGTGAGCTGTGCACGTGCTACTGCAACTTATTACCTAAAATTGAAGCGTGTCAATTTTGTAAACGCGTCCTTATGTCTGCATAATGTGAAATGGAGTATGTAATGTTTAAAATTTTATTTTATGTAATGTTTAATTTAGTAAATATTTGACATTGCCTGTTATGAAATTTGCTATAGTGGTTGTATTACATATATTTTTTCTTGAAATGAGCCGTGATGGCTCAGTGTCAATAAAAAAAAAACATTTCGAAAATATGTGATGTCCGCCAATTCGCAGTGGGGTCGCGTGGTGGACTATGCCCTAATACCCTTTTAGGGCCTTTGCCCAGCAGTGGGACATTTATATGCTGTTTACTTTACTTTTTTTTTAATTTTTCTTACAAATAAAAAAATATTTTATTTTTTATTCTTCTAAGCCGTTCATATAATTATTCCTTTGTATAAATGTGTTACACTCAAAAAGTGAGAATGAAATACTGTTAGTAACATATATGGAGTCCACGGACTTGTCCAACGTTATTAAAGCGGGATTTAAAACAACAGGAGCGCGTGTGCGGCGTGGTGGAGGGCGAGCGCAACTTCCACGTGCTGTACCAGCTGCTGGCCGGCGGCGACTCCCATCTGCTCAGTGAGTGGCCCACTCATTCCATATTACAAAACGGCTCAATTTTAATTTTTTATAGTGCTAATCTTTGCACTTAAGATTGAACATTAAAATTTGTAGAAAAACTACGAAAAGATTATCGCCGCTGTGGGAATCGAACCCACGTCTTCGGCATTCGCGGCCTGACGCTCTAGCCACTGAGGTAAACGGCTGATTGCCACACCCAAGAAAATCTTAACGCCCTTTATCTACGGCTCAATGTTGAAAGTTGCCTCCATCTTTATCTTTGATTCTTGCGAATAAAAGAAAGTCATAGGGCACCAGGTCGGGACTATATGGCGGATGACTCATTATCTCGACACTTGCCGATAGTCAAATATGCAATGGCTCGTTCGAAGCATTGTCGCGGTGAAGGAGGATCCTGCTTCGAGGACTTTGCTGTCGAACATTTTTCAAGACAAAAGGCAAACAAAAGTTAACATACTAGTTCTTCCGGACGGTCACTGCAGACTGGTCTTCTCCACTCTTCCAGCACGACTGTCGCGAAATGATCTTTTCGACCAAACAAAGACGCGATCGTCTTTTATCCCTGACTCCCTTATTTTTTTATGTGCGAAACTGGCAAGCGAGCTGGCGGTTCACCTGATGTTAGGTGGTAACCGCCGACTATAGACACCTGCAACACTCGTAGAGTTACAGATCATCCTTTTAACAAAGCGGATACCGGCTACTTCTCTGACCTACGGGACGAAATGCAGGAGTACACTTCACTTCTATATCACGCCGGTATTCTATGAGGTTTCAGGCCCTCACAAGAGCGACGAGGGAAGTCAACTTAATGACATGCAGAGAAATTCTGCAAGCATACAGGAGAAACAATGACAGTCTTCTCCAAACAAAACTAGTGGAAGCAGAGGCAGCCATCTACAACAACACCACCTCAGAAGTTTTAAAGGGAACCATGAGGCAGCACATGGCGGCCTATAACGAGTCTCTTGGCTTCGTCGAGCTGGACGAGGAAAGGACAGAACAAACGGGACTACCAACGTTTAAAGCCGCCCCCGACGACCCGGTAGTCGTCACCGCTAGATGCACCAAGGTTATGCTGGACCACAGAATCCTAAGCATGGCAAACGCCGTCTCGGGAGCACAAGATCCGGAAGTACCTTGGAAAGACTGGACGGTGCCGAACATTAGATGGATCAACGGGGTTCCCGGTTGCGGCAAAACACCTTGGATCTTCAAGAACTTTGACACAGGGAGGGACGTTGTAATCACCACAACAATAGAGGTGGCGAAAGATCTTCGCGAGAAGCTTGTTCCGTCGGCACCAGCGCAAATACCAAAGTGCGCACAATGGCTTCGGTATTGGTAAATGGGTTCAAAGAGCCACAGAAGAAGACCTGTACTCGGCTCATGGTTGACGTAGCCCTTGATTGATGAACCACTTTGGAGCCATTGTGATGGCAATGCGACTGAGCGAAGCTAAAGAAATCCTGCTGAAAGAAAGAAAGAAAGAAAGATAATGCCGTACACTCGCCCAAACCTAGTGGCAGGCGTCAGTCAGGAACTGCTGTGTACGCATAGGAACCCGATGGATGTAGCATATGCTCTCAACGAAATATACAGTGGCATATACTCTTCCAGATCCCTTGTGCATTCGTTGAGTATCGAAAGATACTCCAACTCGCGAATACAGAAAACTCGTCCAGAAACGCTTTTCCTTGTCTATACCCAGGCGGAAAAAGAGGCCCTTATCAACCAGGGATATGGATCGGGCAACGGTTCGAGGGTTCTCACCATCCATGAAGCACAAGGACTAACATACGGGTCAGTCGTTTTCATGCGTACAAAAGTGAGCAAGCTACAGCTGCACGACAGCGTTCAGCATGCCGTAGTGGCGGTATCCCGGCACACGATCAGCTGTGTTTACTACACAGACGACTGTGACGAAGCAGCAGGCCGCCTTATCCAAAAAGCCATGGCGGCATCAACCTGCAAAATAAGAGACTACAACCTTAAAATGGCAATTAGGAAAAGAGACGCAGCGGTCGCAGAGAGATTAGCAAAAAAAGTAACACCTATTACCAAATAACCTGCGACGACGAGATCTCCGTCCATTCTCCCTACAGCAAAAACGTATATATATTTATGAAGAAAAAATAAAAGAAATAATAATAATAATAAATAAATATATATAAATAATATATTAATATAATAATAATAATCTAATAATAATAAATAAATATATATAAATAATATAATAATAATAAATATATAAATATGAACTCACTGCTGCACCGCTACCAGCCCGGTTGATGTACGCGGCGGTGACAGCCCAAAAAGAAAATTAAAAAAAAAAGGGTTAACCAAAAAAAATGAAATGAATAAAGTACGGACCACGAGTCTGTAGAATCACTTTGTTAAAATAAAAAAAAAATTGAATATCATTATTATCCATGATCGCCTTTAAATCATCATTTTTGTTTAAGCCTGTTCTGTATAACCAGAGACCTTTGATGTTGATGAGGCCCTTGAATTGGGGGGGTTGAGGAACAAAACCTCCCTTTAATACTCATACTGTGCACTTATAGACTATAGACTATTACAAATAACACATGTTACTAAAATAAAATAATCTCAACATCGCGATCTAACGATGTTCGCTTTATCAATAAGCGCCATCTATCGGTACAAAATAAACTTACAACTTAACAATTGTTGACAAGTCAAAATTTCCAGCGGAACCGGGCAAACCAAAACGGGTTGTGCGTTCGTTTGTAAACGTTGTTGAAGTTACGTGTCGTTTATGCCGCGTTGGTACCACGAAGGAACTCATATTCCAAAATTACACGAAATGTAATGAAAATACAAAATAAAGCAATAAAAAAAAGACTAAAAAGAATTTCATGTTTTTAAAACAAAATCGATTTGAATTTCTTCATTTACAGCCAATCAAAACTTTTTTTGTATGAAATGGCCAGTACTGAAGAACGGTAACTTCATGGGTACAGACCTATTATTTTTCGTAAAAACATATTAGTATGTGTCGCCTTATGCGCAGAACGGTTGCGGCTGCAGCGCTCCTGGGAGCACTACCGCGTGCTGCGCGCCTCGGCGGCAGCGGGCGGCGCGTCCCCCCGCCGCGGCCCGCCCGCCGCCGCGCCCCCCGCCGCCCCGCCGCGCGCGCGCCCCCCCGCCGCCGACCGCGACCACTTCGCCTTCACCAAGGTGAGCGCCGCGCCCCTCCCGCCGCCCGCCGCCCCCCGCCGCCCCCCGCCCCGCTCACCGGCGCCGCCCCTCTGCCCGCAGGCGGCGATGAGCACTCTCGGCCTGAGCGCGACTCAATGCGGCGCCGTGCTCCGCGTGCTCGCGTTCCTGCTCAAGCTGGGCAACGTGCAGTTCGAGCCGCAGCACAACATCGACGGCTCCATCGGTACCCGCCTGCAGCGCGAGTACGGTCAGTTTGCCTTTTCAGTCGTTCATACGGCGACTTTTCTCGAATCGATGCTCCCTTGACGCGCGAACGGTTTGCAGAGCTTCGCGAGGCGTGCGCGCTGGTCGGCGTGGAGGCGGAGGCCCTGGCCGGGGCGCTGGGCGCCTCCACGGACGCGTCCGATGTGCCGCCCGGTGCGTTGCGCGTTAGAACGGAACGGAACGAGGCTACGTCGATAGCTTCAGCAGGGTTCTACATCGAGTCTGACTCTGCATCTGCCCGCAGCGGAGGCGGAGGGAGCGGCGGGCGACTGGGAGGCGTGGGAGGAGTGGGGCTCGGAGGAGGCGAGCGCGGCGGGGGCGGAGGGCGCCGCGGGGGCGGAGGGCGAGGGCGGGGGCGGGGCGGAGGGCGGCGCGGGGTGGGCGCGCGCGCTGCGCGATCGGCTGCTGTGCTCGGTGTACGCGCGCCTCTTCACGTGGCTCGTGACGGCCGTGAACGAGTCGCTGCGGCCCTTGGCGGCGGGCGCGCGCAGCTCGCTCGGCATCCTGGACGTGTACGGGCTGGAGTCGCTGGCCCACAACGGGTTGGAGCGGCTGCTGATCAACTACGCGGCGGAGCGGGTGCAGGCCGCCGTCACGGGCGCCACGCTGCGCCGCGAGCAGGAGGAGTACGCGCGCGAGGGGCTCGCCTGGACCCCGCTGCCCTACACCGAGCACGAGCAGCACGCGGACCTCCTCGACGCGGTGCGTCCCTCCTCCGCCCGGGCGGACTGCCGGGCTGCTTTAGCGGAATACGATCCCATGTAATGCTGTCATCCCCCAGACGACGGGCGAAAATCAAAGGTCAAAGAAGAAAATTATGAAATACTTATAAGAAGGGCATGGCAAGGCTTTCGGATTCTTCTATTACCAAAAGAACATCCCATTATTGTTTTTGGTTAACTTTCAATGGAAAATGACATTGGGTAAATTGGGATGAAACGAAAAATTTTCTTATGTGAGAAGGTGGCAAGCGAGCTGGCGGTTAATCCCCTGATATCGAGTGATGACTGCCAACCATGAACATTTGCGACACCCGTAGGGTTGCAGATGCGTTGGAGAGAGCAGAGTTTAACACAGAACTCGGTAGAGCGTTTTTCGTTACTTTTTACTACCTTTTTTAATATTACATAAAAATTTTTTTGATAGCTTTGGACTTCGCTAATAACGGATCTCCCCGTTGAACGCCGACGGCAGAGTCTATAATATTTTATCTAATTATAATGAAGAATGAATAATAAAGTCACGTAACGCCGCAGGGTCCGGAGAGCGTGCTGGGCATCCTGCGCGAGTGCAGCGCGCGCGGCGCCAGCGACGCCGCCTTCCTGCAGCGGCTGCAGCGGCGCCGCAGCCCGCGCCTGCTCGTGCTGCCGCCCGACCGCTTCCAGTGAGCGCTCGGCCCACCCGGCCGGTGGGGCTTAGGGCCTAGGCCCCGGGGCGCCCCGACCGACGGCCGGCGCGGTTGGCTTGCAGGGTGGTGCACTTCGGCGGGCCGGTGGTGTACAGCGCGCGCGGCATCGTGCAGAAGAACCGCGACGCCGTGTGCCGCCGCTGCGCCGGCGTGCTGGGCGCGGCGCGCGAGCCGCTGCTGGCGACGCTGTTCGCGGGCGGCGCGGGTGGGGCGGGGGGCGGAGGGGCGGGGCGGGGGGCGGGTCGCCGCGGCGGCCGTGCGCGCTGGCGTGCCGGCAGCGGGCGCTGGTGGCGGCGCTGGTGCGGCGGCTGCCCCCCGCGCCGCGCCTCGTGCGCTGCCTGCGCGCGGACGCCGCGCTGCGCCCGCACCGCTTCGACCCCGCGCTCCTCAGGCACCAGATACGCACCCAGGGGTGCGCCTCCACTTTCATAACGCAAATTGCTTTCTTTCAACATTGACGGTTCGGCCACACTCGCCACCGACCCCATTCACGATAAGTATGGTGATGAAAGTCCCCGATCTTCTTTTATGCGTCAGAGTACTTCGACGGTTAGCACACCTATATATTACCACTTGTCAAACCCTTCCACAAGCTTCCACTTCTGTACACTTTACATATAAAAACAAACAGTTCTCAGTGCGCTGAATTTGTTATCTCATATAACAAACCTCTATATTTATCAGTTTATTTCCTTAGGGGGTTTTGTGGAGGTTGACAGGATGTACTATTGCCCTCCATTGGTGCGTGTACTTAATCGACAGCTTTCAAATAATTCGTTAACAAGAACATGCCCTCTTGTTGCATGATTAAACAACTGAATTATAGAAAAAGCTTTAATTTTTTTTTATTGTGTTTATTTCTGCACTGAAGAATAGCTTCTCTTGCATTCACTCTTCAAAAATGAATTAAGCTATTCCAAAGCTTACTGTCACATTTAACTCTTATGCGTCATCAAATTTAGAAGCTAATTTTCCCTTTATTAAGTATCGGCAACTTTATCGTATCCCTTTATATACCTGAAGGATTTTTATATACCTTTCTAATTTTTAAATCAAATAGATTAGATTATGTTCTTCAAAGATTGCGAGTAAACTGAGAAGCTCGGTGGCCTCTTGAAAGTTTATCTCAACTATAATGTAAACTTCATATTTAATGCCCGTATAGTCCTTACGTTAAATTCGGTCGTCAAGCGCTTTGGTATTAAGTTCTATAAGTTTGTTGACATCAGTTCCGTCGCTACATATCGTCTCGTATCGTGCAAGGCATGGCTATTGATGCAATAGGGAATCACTTTACGTGGGTGCGCAGCATCATGGAGATGGCGCTGCTGCGGCGCGCGGGCTGGTGCGAGTCGCAGTGTGCGCGCGCCGTGGTGGCGCGCTACGGGCTGCTGGCGGGCGGGGGCGGAGCGGCGGGGGGCGGAGGGGCAGCGGGGGGCGGGGCGGCGGCGGGGGGCGGCGAGGCCGTGCGCGCCGCGCGCCACCTGCTGCGCGCGCTGCCCATCCCGAGCGCGGAGTTCGCGTATGGGCGCACGCGCGTCTTCATCCGCAGCCCGCGCACGGTGCGTAGAGCGGGCCGCGGTGCGGCGCCGCTGCGCGAGTCGTATGTGAGCCTCTCGTCTCGCGCAGGTGTGGGAGCTGGAGGCGCTGCGGGCCGCGCGCGTGGAGCGCCTGGTGGCGGCGGCGCAGCGCGCGTGGAGGCGCCACGCGGCCCGCACGCGCCACCGCGCGCAGCGCACCATCGCGCGCGCCTGGCGAGTGCACCGGGTGGGTGATGCTGCCTCTTCTGCGTAACGCGCCTAAAGCTTCGCGATGAAATCAAAGATGTCGCGTTTGCTTTTAAAATCTTAGATTAATCCAAAAACACTAGTTTACACGCTAGCCAAATCTTAGCGAGTGTCCACAAGCAGGAGCAGCCGATCAGTCGTATGTCGGTTTTTGATCGCTTGTAGGTCCGCGTTCGATAGAAGAGGGCGGATGCTGTGTTTTCCGTTGCAAAGAGTTATCATAAAAATCGTAAAAACATGCTCCGAACAGGCGAGACGAGCCCAGCAGAGGGCGGAGGCGCCGGCGGGGCGGCGCGCGGGCGCGGAGGCGGCGGCGGCGCGCGTGGTGTGGCAGGCGTGGTGCGCGTGGGCGCGGCGGCGCTACGTGGCGGGGCTGTGGGCGCGGCTGCCGGCGCGCCACCTGTCGCCCGTGTGCGGCGCGTGGCCGGCCTGCCCCTGGCCGCGGCTGGTGGGCCGCGCCGACGCGCTGCTGCGGCGGCTGCACCACCGCTGGCGCTGCCGCCTCTACCGCGCCGCCTTCGACCAGACGGCGCGCAACCGCATGCGCGAGAAGGTGACCGCCAGCGTGCTGTTCAAGGAGCGCAAGCTGACGTACGCGCGCAGCGTGGCGCACCCGTTCGTGGGCGACTACGTGCGGCTGCGCGCGTCGGCCGCGTGGCGGCGCGGGCCGGGCGCGGCGCCCGCCGACCGCTACGTGGTGTTCGCCGACGTGGTGGGCAAGGTGGCGCGCTCCAGCGGCCGCGTGGCGCGCTGCCTCGCCGTCGTCTCCACGGGCGCGCTGCTGCTGCTCGAGGCGCGCTCGCTGCGCCTCAAGCGCCGCGTGCCGGCGCACCAAGTCTACCGCCTCTCGCTCTCGCCGCACGCCGACGACCTGCTCGTGGTGCACGTGCGCGCGGTCAGTGCCCCTCGCCCCCTCGCCCCCCCTCGCCCCCACGCCCCCACGCCTCGCCCCCCCGCTCATCACCTCTGCCTCTTGCAGTGCGGGGGCCTGGAGAGCTCCGCCGAGGAGCTGTCGCAGTGCTCGTCGCGGGACGCCGTCGACGCGCCCGGCTGTCTCTTCGGGGTTCGTCTCTGTACAATATTACAGTCTTTGACATCTTTGTAATTAGTGCATGTTAACTTAATTATTTTCTTACGACGATTCAGCAATTCTGCCGTTTGATGCCAGCGGCGGCACACCCGTCCGTCGACCTGCAGGTTGGAACCATTTTCGAGTAACTCGACATATTCCCCGCACGACCGTTTATCGCTAGGCTCGACTGCAGTTACCTTAGATCCACATTATTATAAATCCCATTACATTTTTTTTTTTAATTTTATTTATCTAGAATCGCAAACTAAACATTACACACACATTACAGAATAATGGTCACAGACACAGATGATACGGAACCTTAAACGCAAGTGAATGTTCTTCTTTGAGCGAACACAACATGCGCAAAAAAACATTCTCTCAATCTCAATCTCAATGAATCGTACAATGAAACAAAAAATTAACTTTTCAGACATAAAAAATAAAAGTTATTAAAGTTAAGTTAAAAATAATAATAAAACAGTAGTTATTAATTGTTAATATTATATGTATTCGAAAACACAGCAATGAGATGAACTAGCAGTCCATGTGATTCTATGAAAATACACTTACATCTGAAGAACAACAGACAGACACTGTATACTCGAGAGTATAGGTGCTTAAACAGTATTCATCATCATCATCATTTCAGCCTGTTTGAGTCCACTGCTGAACATAGGCCTAAGGAAAAACTAGGGAACAATATAACTAACATTACAATGCTACTTAAAATATAATAACAAAATTATTACATATTATGTTTCACCCAGCTCTGAATATTTATTTAGTAGGGAAGCTTTACAACCTATTATATAATCTCTGGGAGGATCCCAGGTCTGGCTGAACACTCCAACTTATTTAAGAAAAAGAAAAACTTCAGAGTAAAAATCAAAAATTTAATTTTAAAAATAAGAATAGAAAATCAGATAAAAAAAAGCATAGTCTAAAGAAGCCTCGGCCCTTTCGGCAACGTCGATCCAATGCAGAATGATCAAATTCTAAGCCCAAAGAAATTTTACTCGAGACGGATTCAGAGGAGGATGCCTGAAATCTTTTTCGGAAAGATGTGCTCAGTTAAGGGCAAACCAATTTAATTTAAATTCAATAGCAAATCACCGCTTGCCATTCAGCAAGAAACCTCCTCTGAAAATCCCTTCCCAAAATATTTTAGAAGCTTGAGCTACCAAAATTTCACCAGAAATGACTCAGATGGTAAACGAGTTTAAGAGCAAAATAATTTTAGAGAGACCATCAACTCTGAACTCAAGCTTCCTTTCAAAGATGTTTTTAGTAAAGAAAGCAGATGGTGGTTTTCGCCCAATTTTCGACCTCAGGGCTCTCAATACTTTTTTACTCTAAACAAAACATTTTTACCTAATATCACAGTTAGATGTAGTGGATTTCCTGCATGTAAACGACTGGTTAGTTAAGATCGATCTTCACCAGGCTTATTTCCATCTGAGTGTCGCGGAGACTCGCACAAGGTTTTTACGGGTTTACAATGGAGAGATCCTCCAATTAACAGTCCTACCGTTTGGCCTGTCCTCTGCACCCCGAACGTTTACGGCAGTTTCGAACTGGGTGGCCGAAATACTTCGGGAGCTGGCCATACGCCTTTTAGTATATCTGGATGAATACCTCCTGGCTTGTCAGGACAGATCCAAGCTAATGGGACAGGTTGCGGAAACACAGGCCTTCTTGGAATACTTGGGTTGGCACGTAAATTACGAGAAGTCCCTAACAAAGCCCACGCACAAGCTAGGGACAAAGGCACACAAGCTATTACTTGGGGCTGACCTGGGACACTCAGAACCAGACAATAGCCTTAACCACCAAAAAAGTTCTTGGCGTAAAAAATTATTTAACAAAGATGTTAGACCGAGACAGTTGCTCATTAAGAGAACTGCAGAGCTTACTGGGCATGCTGAATTTGGCCAACCAGGTGGACGGCTTCACTGTCGCAGAGCACAGCTCTTCCTGAGAAGATTTACTCGGAGAGGACAGAGGAGACAATTATGCCCCAAAATGCGAGAGTACCTGCGGTGGGGGTTGGATGCAGTCGAGGGCAGTCCAACCCCACTACACAAAAGGGTTATAACCCATTTCTTAACCACAGCGGATTCGGGCTGGGGAGCATGCCTGAACAGGCATTACCTTTCAGGCAAATGGGCTACAACCCAAAAAGCATGGCACTCCAATATGAAGGAGATGTATGCAGTCTTTGCTGTAATCAAGTCCCAGGGTGCAAGGTTACGGAATGCCCACATTCTTTTACAGTCGGATAATCGGACAATAGTGTCATGCATTCGAAACCAGGGCGGAACTCGTTCATTGAACCTACTGGGCCTAAATACAGGTTACTGGAATTAACTTGTCAATTCAACATAACAATGACAGCATTCCATTTACCGCGAAACCTAAACGGCATCACAGATTGCCTATGAAGGGGAAGACCGGTGCTCGAGTGGCATTTGCTTCCACCAGCCACGGAGGCAATATTCAGAAGATGGGGAACTCCCGAGGTCGATCTCTTCGCAACAAAAGAGACTGCTGTTGTCACAAAGTACGTGACGCTGGACTTAAGAGATGGCTCGGTGCTTTTCTACGACGCTTTCAGTCGAAGATGGAAATTCCGAGTAGCATGTGTATTCCCACCTCCGAGTATGATACCCAGAGTCTTAGCACATCTAAACAATGCAATAGGGACATATTACGTGATTGCGCCACAGTGGACCCAATGTTTCTGGTTCCCAGAACTTCAGGCACGTGCTCTAGCACCCCCGCTGCTAATAGAGAACCTGATAGAGGTGCTTGTGGACCGAACAACGGGCTTGAGCCCTCCTCAAGTGGAGATACTCGTGCTTCATGCTTGGAAAGTTGGGGGTGGGAAGACCAAGTAACAAACTGGAGTACGGATGAACTACAGCTATCGAGAAGTAGCTGGCGCACTCTACCCTGACCACTTACAGTGCCCCAATAAAGAGGTTGTTGCACTGGTGTAAGTCACAAAATCTAAACAGTAAAAGCCTGGAGGGTAAAGATGTGGCAAGGTTTTTAGCAACTTTGTATTTAAAGAATAATTTTGCCTACAACACCATTCTCTTACATAAATCTGCTGTTTCAACATACTGTGCAGCAACATTAGAAAACCTTTTAATTTTTTTTCATACTTTCTAGACCATGTATAGTTAGACCCCCTATGTGGGATGTAAACACTTTATTTCCTGGTTAAAAGCATCTCCAAATACAAATTCCCTATTTGACCAAAGTAGACGAACTGCCTTAATTCTCTTATTAGCTTCTGGTCGAAGGTTACACGACCTTACTCTCTTGGAAGCCTGTGGGCAGGGATATACAGAAACAGAGGACACCGTGACATTTTGGCCGAGATTTGGCTCAAAGACAGGCTCAGGTTCGCACAGACAATCAGGCTGACTTCTTATAGGACATGAAGATCCTCAGATTTGTCCTGTCACTCATGTAAAAGAGTTAATTAAGAGGTCAGAAGCCAGACGTGATCAAGAAAGCCATGTAAGTTCTCATTTTATTTCAATCACAGGAGTCAGACCTGCATCTAAAACAATGGACCTGAATCTAAACAATGGCTGGGTATGTTCAATATTTAATCTTGCCAAGATTGATGCCTCGCCAGGAAGTATAAGATCAGCTGTAGCTTCTAGGGGGCGGCAAGACAATAGACCAGTACAGGAAATACTAGAAAGGGGGGATATTGGAAATGTGTAGAAACATTCTCAAGGTACTACTGTAAAGAAGTAAAGAGATCAATCAATAGGGAAGTGGAAAGTACCTCTCTATGCAACAATTTTAAAACTGTCTGTTTACATTTAATTATAATTAAGATTTAATATGATCTCAGTGCTGTAATTAAATATAATTATTTAAATTAATGAGAGATCAGTGATTGTGCTCTGTGACTTAGTTCTATTTATATTGAAATAAGGGTAAGTTTATCTTGTTGATTGTTATTTGTTTTAGCATTATGAATGCAGCATTTCTTAAAATTTATAGAAAAGATTTGGTTTTCAGTTTTCCTTTTTGTTTTCGAAATAATAATTTCATAGATTAATAACCATAGAGTGCAATTTTATTGTAAAAATTAAGTTTGTTCATTTGTACTTTATAAATTGGAAATAAATAATTAAACTCATATTAAAATGGGGTTTAATTGATATTTTTATTCACATTGCATTCTTGTGTTTTGTAATTTCTGATTACCAGCAGATATCAAATAGGTCTTCAACTCATTGCTGTGTTTTCGAATACATATAATACCTGTTTTGTCTTAATGCAAAACAATAATATTATTTATGTAATGATCAGCTGACACTTAGAAAAATTAATTTCGAGTCGAATTTAGCATTACTATATGTGCTTGTTCACTCCTGAAACTCCACTCGTGATAAATAAAGCCAGTTCTGTCTATGCCACCTTTTATATATGGAAAAATGACGGATATCTACTCCCTCCTATGTGACTGGTTTTACTAAATCTATCCTCAAGTAAAACTAAAACAACATTTGATACAAACTAAAACAACATTTTATGCAAAATATTAATAGTTAAATATAGAAAAATAAAATAAAAACAAATTAAATTAAAACGTTAATAAGTACACCTGTATAAGCACAAATGTTTTACGATACCTTGCTTTTTTTTTTTCAAACTAACAAAAGCGGCCAGAGCGGTCACCGAAGTTCGTCCACTTATATTAGTATACCTACTGTATTAACTATTTACTATTTTTTTAACTGTATTAATTTTCTTCGTCTTAATATTAGTCTTGTTAAATGGGGTGCGTTCCACTAAGCGCCCACAACGATCACGCTCACGACCGCATTATTCCCGTTCCACTTGCTTGTGAGCGTTACTGCCGTAAACTCAAGTGGGATGGATTATAGAGCGTTTTGAGCGTCGAGGTAAATAATACAAAGGGCGAAATAGAAAAAAGGAAGCAAAAGATTTAAGAGGTTAGGTTATAATCTGTAAGCTTTGAAAATAAACTTAAATAATTATTGTTTAAACCGATTTATATTGAAAAAAATTATAATTTAATTTTTTATATTTAATATTAGTGGTGTATTTAATTAATTTACGTTCAAATGTAATTAAAATGTCTTTTGCGGTGACACTTTGAACTTAGACATTTTGAATTTTGAAAATGCCGCTAATTTTCTCAACGATCACTTCGACCCACCTTTTTAGATGGGTCGCCGTGAGCTTCGCGTGAGCGTAAGTCATGACGTCATAAGTGACGTTTTGGCCGCGACCACAACGACCGCGGTCGTTATGTGGAACGACTAAAGGAGCATTTTGATCGTTGTGGGCGCTTAGTGGAACGCACCCATAGTGATTTGTGCTCTAGGGTAGTAACCATGTTTCCCTATAAACAAAAGTACTCTGTGGTAATAACTATGTATACTCGATTGATGATACTGTTACACGGTAAAACTCTTATGAGTTTATGTTTGTATCAGTTTAATAAGTTTGTAATTTTTTTTATACAAATAAATTAAAAAAAAAGTATTCTAAACAAAACCGGTAAAATTTCAATGGAAGTTGGACCTAACTTTTATTTTCGGTGTCCAGAAATAAAATATAGTAAGATTCGTATTATTCGTATATATTCGGTTTTACATCGTAAACTTAAATAAACTAAAATAATTTTTTTTTCTTTATTTACATATTTGCCCGGGCTTTAATTAAAATTCTTCACTATGAGTTATTTATTACTCAGGCTAAGGCTCGGGTTCTTGATTTTTTCATTTATACGGCATTACGGGACGGCACCGAGTCGTTGTGAGGTACAATTTGGCCACGCTACTTTGAAGGCGCTACGGTAGAAATTGTCCGGTAGCCAAGCTAGCTTTGGCGATAGAGTGGCGTTGAGCCGGCGGCTGATGTGGGTCCGGGCGTGGGCAGGGCGAGGGCGCGTGGCGGCGGCGCGGGGACGTGGTGCTGCGCACGTGCCACGTGCTCGAGCTGGCCACCAAGCTGTTCCTGGTGGTGCAGAACGCCGTCGGGGCGCCCCCCCACGTCAACATCGCCACCGAGTGAGTGCTCCCTCTAATATATTCTTAGTGCTTTTATAATATTTCTCATTGGACACGTGTGCCGATTTAGAGGTTGTATTTGAAAGTTCGCGCCCTCGGTTATTATTTTTCATTTAACGAGTTCATGAGGTGCATTTGTTCCGTCTCAGTTCGAACCGTGCCTCAGTTGCAACTTTTATCGAGGCACGCGCGGTCGTCGAGTATCAATAGAGTTCGGCCAATTGTAGCGTGTGCGTGCGTGCTTAGGTTCGAGGCGAACTTCGGGCAGCAGCTGGTGACGATCTCGTTCCACGCGCTGGGCGGCGGCGAGGCGGCGGGCGCGCGCCTGCTGCGCCGCGGCAGCCGCATGGACGTGCTGCTCTGACTCTGACTCTCCCTCTCCCTCCCGCACACGTCTCGCCCCGCGCATAACAAATGCACATGAACGATGGCTAATCGACTTACGAGGCCGATGATTTGCTTTGATTTCTCTATTCGGTCGCTTCGCATGCGACCAGTGTGGGTGTGATCGTCTTTAACTTGTTATTTCGCAAACTTTGTTAAAGTGGTTTTGTTAAAATGTCACTGCGGAGGCCTAGACACCGTCGAAATATTACTAATATATATATTATTGTATAGATTAGCGTATGTTTATATTGAGTGCACGCGTTGACAAAATCGTGATTAAAATAATAATACGCTGTTGTTCGGGTGTGAAATGGGGTCGGGAGAGTGTCTCCTCCCATAGTTCTTATGATAGTGGTAACGGACGCGGCCGAGTGGTGTCCGTGCGTCGCCGCGACGTTAGGTAGGCCTAGTTTAAGTTTGAAAACACCAATGCAATGTTAAATATCCATAAGTACATAGATCCGTATTAAAGTAAGTACGCGCACCCGGAGCGCGCCAGTGCCAAAGGGCACCGGAGGCCCCTTAGTCGTGTGCCAAAGGAAAGGAGCGAGAGGCGGGAGAGCTGGCCGAGGCTGGCTCGCGCACGCGACCAATAGAAGAAGGAGCACGAAAAGTACACGGAAATACTTTTGAAAGTTGTACGATCATGTTACGTTTCGACGATAAACTACTAATAAATTGTTTGATCGTTTTCAATAAATTTTAAGAGAGTTTTTATCGCCCTGCTTTTTATTTAATGTCTATTTTGTAATTTGTTTATGTCATCCAGGTCACCATCAGCGGACTTTAAAGATAAGTCCATCTTAAGGACGAGTAGTCTACACTCCTATTCAACCGTGGCCGAATGAACAAATATGGGCGCCTCACTGCTAGTTCAGTTCGCAGATTTTGAAAGATAATTCTATTAAAGCTACGATGACCTTGTTCTCAGTCGAATTTTTTAGTTTCGTTTTATTTTCTTGAGAAGGCCCATCGCTATCTCTCTAATAAGAGTTTCTTTTTGGATCAAGACAGCGATGAGAGTCCCAAGTCTCCACATCATTAGAACATAGCAAGGTGGAAGCACTGATCCAAGACTATCGTCTTTATTCATAGAGTAATTTGCTGGATCCATATTAATCGATATTTCCCGAAGCTGCCCAGCCTAGTCGAATACTTGTCTCGATTTCCATGTTGGAAGTAATAAAACCATTGAACCGAAATTTTCTTCCCCCGCTCAGCTTGGGAACCGCCTTCAAACCATGTTGATAACAACATAGCGATCAGTGATCTGCATTTTAGTGATTCTAAAATACTAGACGAATTAAAAAACTTGGCTCTAGGAAAGGTGAGCCCGGACGGAATTACTGCATTGCTTTTTAAGTCAACCGACCTCGATGACTGCAAACCGCTCTATTTGTATAATATTTATTAAAAGCTTAAATGAAGGTGTATTTCCTACAAAGTGGAAGATGGCTACTATAACACCCATGACAAAAGTGTGACGAAGTGGACACTATACAGATTTCAACAAAGTATTCGACAGAGTTGACCACAATATCTTAGTAAATAAAATTTCATTTAAAAGGGGTAATAAAAGTTTAGGGGTAACTTATTTCGATGGTTTATATCGTACATTACAAACCGTACTCAAAAAGTGGTAGTGAATATCGTTCGTATATTGGTGCTATCAACCTATTAATTCTGAGAAAGACAGCAAGATCCGATATTTAAACAGACTCGTTCGTATATCTGGTTAGTTCCCCTTTTTAGGTAAAAATTGAAATACCTATTAATTCTGAGAAAGTTACCTTTATCTGTTCAAAACTCTTATACGCTCTCAACTTGAGTACAATGTTCCAATCTGTAACCCAGGTTTAAGCAAGTATGTAAACGAGATTGGGAAGGTCCAAAGAAAGTTTCTTGGCTCTATGCAATATAGATGTAAGAAAGCCAATTTATCAAATTCACAATTATTAACTATAAATTGATAGCACTTGAAGCAAAACGTGATGTATATAAATATCTAGAAAGCTAATGTATTACAATATTGTGCACAGCAATTTTGATTGTATCGATTTAACAAATAAGATTTGTTATGTAGTTGCTCGCACTATCCATAAACGAACACTCTGTCGAACGTTCTATTGAATTATCCTGCGTTGAGACAAGTATATTATAGTATGCGTATACCGGCCCCCCTCAGGTGATTTCGATCAGTTTGAGTGCGTAATGGATGATGTTCTTAAAAAACTGTTCAAGTTGTAAATCATTAATAGTTTGTGGAGATTTTAATGTGGATTTATTACAAGTAACACAACTCAGTAAACGACTTTTAAATTTATTTAACTCATTTGAACTTAAAAATCTTTTTCATGAACCAACTCGTGTTACTAACTTATCCTCCTTATGTATAGATAATGTATTCTGTCACAATGATGTATATGATAAATATGTTATAAATCATCTGAGCTCGGATCACTTTGGCCTAAAATTTTCAATAAATGAAAAATCTAATACAAGCAAACTTAAGATCAAGTGTAGACCAGTCACTACTAATAGAATAAATGCTTTTAGAGATAAAGTGGCACATCATATGTTAAATAAAGATATAGGAGTCAATAACCCTAATGATTCTTATAGATCAATGGTTGACTTTCTCATATCTTCTTATAATGATACTTTTAAATCGCGCACAATTGTTAAGAATTCAAAATTAAAATTTAGTGACTGGGCAACAGTGGGTATATACAAAAGTAGGGATTCATTGTATGAATTATATAGTATGAGGCAGTGGAATCACGATCCTAACTTCCTTAAACGGGTACAAAAATTTTCAAAAATATTTAAAAAAGTCTGTGTTCAGGCAAAATCTATTTATATAAGAAATAGCATAATAAATTCAAACATTAGAACTAAAGCCACATGGGACATCATTACCCGTATATCTGGAAGAACCGAGATATTCAGGGAACCTATAAAACTAGTTATAGGTAATACTCCCATAATATCAGATAACGAAATTGCGAGTAGTTTCGAAAGCTATTTTTCAGACATTGCGGTTAATGTCACACGTACATTAAAATCATCTCCCGCAGACGCAATCAATGTTTTAAGAAATAATATTACCCCTTGTCTACACACATTTAAATTTAATCACGTAGATACTTATGATATTATAAAAGTTTTGAATTCTATTAATCTTAAAAATACAGAGGATTTATGGGGTATGTCCATAAAATTAATGAGCACAATAATGCCATATATTGCACCACATTTGGCTTCATTTTTAACAACTGCATAGATTCTGGAATATTTCCAGATCTTATGAAATTTAGTAAGATAATACGTGTCTACAAAAGTGGTGATAAAAATGATCCAGGCAATTATAGACCTATTTCCATATTGCCATCTCTTAGTAAAGTTTTTGAAAAGCTAATATTAAATCAACTTTTAGTTCATTTTAATGTGAACAAAATCTTTCACGATGAGCAATATGGATTCACTAAAGGCAGATCGACAACAGATGCGGGCGTCACACTTGTCAAACATATTTATAACGCCTGGGAAAGGTCACAAGATGCAATAGGTGTCTTTTGTGACCTTTCAAAAGCCTTCGACTGCGTAGACCATAAAACTCTCCTTCAAAAGCTAGAATATTATGGCATTCGTGGCATCGCCCTCAATCTCATTGCCTCTTACCTTAGTAATAGAATTCAAAAAGTATCTATAAATGATGTTAATTCCGCTGGGTCCCAGATGAAAATGGGAGTCCCACAAGGATCAATCTTGGGCCCATTATTATTTTTAATATATATTAATGATCTCCCCTTTTATGCCAGTGGGTTGTGTGATGTTGTACTGTTTGCTGACGATACATCGCTTATTTTTAAAGTTACCGAAACGTATTAAATTATGACGACGTGAATAGTGCACTTTCACATATCCTCCACTGGTTTACTATTAATAATATGGTATTAAATGCCAAAAAAACCAGATGTATTCTTTTTACCCTTCCCAGTATAAGAAGGAAAAGTTTTAGTTTAATATTAAATAACGTACCCATTAATCCAGTTGAGTCTGCTGTATTTCTGGGAATTACAGTAGATTCAAAGCTCCAGTGGAGTCCCCATATATCATCTCTTGCGAATAGGCTGAGCTCCGCGGTTTTTGCGATTAGAAGGGTTAGGCAGCTAACAGACATCGACACTGCCAGACTTGTTTACTTTAGTTATTTTCACAGCATCTTGTCGTACGGCATTTTGTTGTGGGGTAGTGCATCAGATATAAATTCTATATTTATTCTTCAAAAAAGAGCTGTCCGAGCAATCTACAATATCGGAGCCCGGAATTCACTCAGAGATCTTTTCAAAGAGGTTAATATACTCACTGTTGCTTCTCAATACATATATTGTAATGTTTTGTATATACGTCATAACCTTAATTGTTACCTAAAGAATAGTGACAGACATAAAATAAACACTAGAAAATAACGCCTAATTTCTCGCCAATTTTGCCGATGTGCTCTGACCTTGATGATGCGATTGCTCTTTTGAGGGACCTAGAGGCAAATTTGTACTCCTTTTTAAAGTGACTGGTATTTACATCCCTAGACGCCACCGCAACGGTCCAGGCCCGATAACTCTCCTGCTTATGGCGAGATGCCAATTTGCAGGAGCGACGGAACCAGGGATTGGATCTGCCGCCAATGGGAAGCGTAGAGAAGGGGATAAAAAGTTCCATTCCCTGAAGCACCACATCGGCGACAGAATCAGCGATGGCGCTAGGATCAAGAAGCAAACCTTGCCCCAGGGATAAGATGCAAAGAAGGACCGCATCCCATCCCAATCTGCTGACCTGTAATGCCACACACGACGAAAACTCGGGGATCGCGTAAGCGTTCTGCGCGCGATGGGCACTACGCTCCGGACCAGACAGTGGTCTGACGAGCCAAGAGGGGCATCGACAGAAACTTGGTAGTGATCCGGATGAGTGGTCAGCAGAAGGTCCAACAGGGAAGGAGAATGATTTAACACATCTGGGATCCGCGTAGGCATAGTGACCAATTGTGTAAAACCATTTGCATTGGCAAAGTCGTGTACAGACCTCCCCGCATGATCGGTGGTATGTGACCCGAGCCAGTCGACGTGATGGGCGTTAAAATCACCAAGGATCACGGTCTCTGCGGTTGGGATCTGTTGGAGCACATAATCTGTACCCATTTGGACGTGGTTTATGAGTCGGTCTGTTTCCGTATTGCCGCTATGGGACCTATAAAGGCACGCATAGACGCGAGGGTGGTCGTCGTTGTCTACACGTAGCCATATGATGGACAGGTCCGTACCTTCAAGGCTGCTGAGACGACGAGAGCAAATATCCTCCCTAACATACACACAAACTCCGGCTCGGGGCACAAAGGAGTTTTCCAACAGAACTAGAAGTGCTGGTACCCCCCTGGGGTATGTTCTTTTTTAATACCGCTACCATGATGTTGGGGGGGAGACCGGACGAAACGCAAAGGTAAAAATACCTTTACTTTACGCCGATCTTCTGTGAGGCCGTGGTACTTCCCCGGTTTGAGCCGGCCCAATTCAGCATCAGCAAATGCCGATGCATGGCTCTACCACGTACAAAAATTCCAAAGCAGTACAGCTTGAACAGTGAAATAATAAATGAAGACACTGGTACTATGTAGTATGTTTCTTCATATAGTAATCTTTAGAATAACTAAGGAAAGTAGATCTCTTTCCTTGTTCAACTAGAGATCTTTAAAATAACACATATTATTATCGATTGTGGTTGCATAAACAGAATAAATATCGCATTATAAATAGCGTGGTAATTATTGTTTTAGCTATCCTTTACACATAATAGGCCCCCTAGGGCAACCCTATACACAATCAAGACTACTCAATTTCAAGACTAGTTCTTAGTATGTAAAATAACGTGAGCTGTATAATTAATTTTGGTTCAATATTTTTTGTTTTGTGTTGAAGGTGCAAAACTCGAACAGAACATGGGTTGAAATGAAAAACGAATTCACACAAATATTTATTCTACGTAGGTCCATAATAAAATAGCATCGTTAAAAATACATACAATTACTAAATTCACAATAATCGTCAAAGGAACATACTTGTAGTTGTAACGTCATATGCTGCAATGTATGGGTAATACATGAACTATAGCTATTGAAAAGGAGAACAGGGCTAGTCGCCGCAAATCCAGTGTAAGTAATTTTTCCGTAGAACTGTAAGTAATTGTGTCATATAAAAATGCGAAATATAAAACGCAGGAGTAAATATGAAACTATAACAGCACTCCAGATCAAGAGCATGGCGTGCTAGCCACTAATTTTATGTCTAAAAACTATTTGTGTTCCCAGATACGCCCATAAAAGTGTAATTTATACAATAGAAACTATAATTCAGGAGATATGAGAAAAGGCGTAGGCGGAAGGCGCGGTCTATAAGTGCGATTTGACATACATGTTCATTTCTGTGATGAGATGATTAAATACCATGCGTGTAGTATTTATATACATTTAATTAATTAATCTTTGGTCAAATAAATTAACACGTAGTAGTACACAATTATTTTTGGGATAGCCAGAGACCGCGCCCCGCGCCACAGAGTACATAAAACGTAGACAATTCATTCAGTCTTCTCGTTACACTCAGCTCATACAAAACATTTTTAAACTATATTTAACGTCTACACATTTAAAAAGACAAATATTAGTACCGTTATTGGCGCAAACAGGCGTCAGTCGCCGTAAATCAATGCTACTTGTGAGGGTTGCGCTCAACTTGCTCGTACATTCTATTATCTAACGAGACATAAATATACATATTTATGTATGCACCTAAACAACATTAATACAACATTCAATATATTAAATTTCAAAGACAATTAATTTTCTACATGATAAATATCATTCTGTGTTTGGTTTACCGACTGGTTCGGTAACGCAGCTGGACGCAAATATTACCAAAAATTATAGACTTGAAAACCGATGTTTGTCTTATACAAAATTCTAAAAAAGGTTAAATTCAAATCTGTACCTTGGAGGTAAACAGCATTACGTGACCAAAACAAAAAACAGGAGATGCAAAAATGCGTGAATGAATGCTCGAATGCATTATTGATTATGTTGTCATAACTGTACGATATACTATTGTGTAGAATTTGTTTCTGCGATTTTAATGGTGTAAGAAAAAAAAATTAGAAAAATGTGGAGTTACTATTTTAAACCTATGAGGTACAGAAATATTTTTTAATACTCATTTTTGATTTTAGTCCTAGAAATTGTGAAGCTTCGTGAGTTAAATAGCCGAAAGTACTTGCGTTAAAGACTGCGGCCTTGCGGAAATGATCCATTGAACAGGAAAGGAACGCTAATAAGGCCAGTGGAAATAACAAATCCACCCCATTTTGATGGCACCTCAGATAATTTATGATTATATTATTTAGGCCAAATATACATATATTTCTTATAGTTGAAGACATTACCAACAGTTGATATCTTATGTTATGAAATATACATCAAAATGATTGGAATTCCAGATGGATATCTGATTATACATATAATGAAAACAGATTTACAAAGTGACGGTTTAGACATTTGTGTAACTACTATAGTAATACATTCAAATTTGTAGAAAAAGTATGAAAAGATTGTCGCCGCTGTGGGAATCGAACCCACGTCTTCTGCATTCGCGGCCTGACACGCTTTAGCCACAAAGTTAAACGGCTGATTGCCACACCGACGAAAATTTTAACGTCTTTTATCTACATTGTTTCTTAGCATTTGAAGCAATGCCTGGCGCATCCATTGCTATATCCTTTCCAGCATACAAACAATTTCGAATATCGTTTTACAACGATAATTCAAACGAGAGATGTCGCCATAGCTTTTTAGAAATTTTTTTTATAGTGCTAATCTTTGCACTTAAGATTAAACATAAAATTTTGTAGAAAAAGTACGAAAAGATTGTCGCCGCTGTGGGAATCGAACCCACGCCTTCGGCATTCGCGGCCTGACACTTTAGCCACTAAGCTAAAGGGCTGACTGCCACACAAACAAAAATCTTAACATCTTTTATCTACATTGTTTCTTAGTATTTGAATTTGAAGCAATGCCTGGCGCATCCATTATTTTTTTGTTTTTGGTTTCAAATGTTAATGTTTAATCTTAAGTGCAAAGATTAGCACTATGAAAAAAAATAAAAAATACCTATACATTGTATAATTATCTGAAGACTCGTGAACCGTTTTCCGAATTTATGATTAGCGATTTTTATAAATAGAATGATATTACACAGATATGTCTCTAACATTAGCGCCTTATTCCATCGTCTCAAGTTGGCGCCGCTTTCTTATGTCATCTGGTTTCTCGTTTATTTAAGTGGGCCTGTAGGTTATTGTGATTGAAAATGTAACTTTATACACAGTTATGTTCAGAAAATCATCTGTATTATGGTGACAACTGATCTATTATGGATAAAATTGTTGAAACGTATGTATTAGCTATTTTCGAAGTTATACTTCTTTTGGCGCGTTTGAAAAAAACATACAATTTTTTTTACGATGCGCCCGCACACCGACAGCGAAAATGCGACATGAAATAAAAATTCCTATGGCAACCAATAACAATTACAACTTTTGACATTTACCTATAAAAAACTCCAATTAATTTAATTTAATTATCAATTGAATTTAATGTATTTTTCTAAAAAGAGATGTTAGAGAGGAGATAAAATGTTAGTTATTTTTCTTTTGTTACGGTAAACAACTATAGCTTTTTACGTGCGTACATGAGTACAAACGGTTTGTTAAAGTTACAGAAGAAGCCAGGGTGGTTTCATGTCTATTAATAGACTGATTCAGATGTAAAACAAAAAAAATTATTCGTCTTTTTAAATATTATCACAACATTAGTTCAAGGCCTGAAAATGATTGAAGTTATACTTCTTTTGACGCGTTTGGATAAAAATATGATAGTAAAATGTTTACGATGCGCGCGCGCATACTGACAGTCAAAAAGCGACATAATGAAGTTGCAAAGCGATAAGGGGGAATTTTTTTTTAGTTATTTTTATTGTCTTACGTTTAAGAAGTATAACTTCTTACGTGCCTACATAAGTACACGAATACTTTTTTTTATTTATTTCTTAGATATAAAATGGAGGATTGTTAAATTGAACATGTTAATATCAAAGTTAAAGTTTTAATTTAAGGAACTTTATATCGTTTCACATGAGTAGGAAAAACTGCAAGTTCGTTGCCCGATGTGAAGCAGGAAACAATAAAAAAAATCATTTAGTAAAGGTAAGTTGTGGTCGTTGAATAAAAATTAATGCCAATAAATACTGAGACATGTAAATCAAGCGTATTCTAGGCCTTATGTAAAAATTTGTCCTTCAGATGGACAATGTTGGTTAACTAAATTGTGACTGCGGAAATTTTTATATTTTCAAAGTAATTCTGTGCATCGGAGTGATATTACTAGATATTACGAGACAAAATCAGATGGAGAGACCCAAAGTGGGAGGTAATTTGGGTCTCTCCATTTGATTTTGTATTTAAAAAAGTAATTAAAATTCTGAAACAGGCCACGTCTCTTTAACATTTAAGTTAAGGTATTTGACGCTGTGTTTTGAGGTGGCGTTACGCGCGCAGCCGCTTAGCGACGAAGCCCCAGTTTCTGACAGAAAGTATTCTGGAAATCAAGACATTTGTGTTGAATTAAATACTTACATTGACTATGCTGTATCCAAGTTTCGCCATATCACGTTTAATTAACTGTACTAAAGTTATTTGGGGGTTTTGGCTTTATATCTGAAATATGGGATTGATGATCAGATGATTACCAGAATTGGACCAAAAGTGTTCTTCTATAAATTTTATAACAAAATTTGCCTTAATATTGGCGTAAATACAGTATACATTGAAATAGTAGTAGAACTAATAGATAATTATTATGATACCTTGAGACGAGACGCCCGATGGGAGTCTGTATCGTCCTCTGCGTTGTCGTTCTGGACATCCTCTGCCAAAGAGCGATGGTTCATATTTCCTTCATATACAAAAAAATACATTCATATAGTCTTTAATGTGTTTATATTTCATATTATCCATTTTATGAATTCGACGGAAAATAGATGGCAAATTGCCACTCGAGTTAACTAATGGAACGGTTACAAGTTGTGCTATATGAACGAGATGCGATGAGATGAGATGAGAATGTGGTAGAGTGACGTGCGCACCGGGTGCGTGTCTCGCGGGCGGGTTGCCGTTGTCGTCGGCGTCGGGCTCCGTGGGCTCCGTGGGCTCCGTGGGCTCGGTGGGCTCGGTGGGCTCCGTGGCGGCGCTGTCGCTGGCCGACGCCAACGAGCCGCTGAGCGCGATGGACGCCTCGGAGCCGTTCCACGCGCCGGACTCGGCCGTCGCCGCCGACAACCCCGACGCACCGCATTCGCCCGACGCGCCTGAGCCTCGTCACGAAACACCCTTATGCTCGTGCACACTTTCTATTCCCTCACTGTATTCTGACTACTCAACTTATAACTATACGCGAAAACTGATATCAACAATGTAAACTTATAGGTGTACAGAGTTATAACAAAAACGAGAAAAATGGATAAGATACATCCAATGTTTGTAATAGTTGAGAACGAAGAGATTATTGAAAATCCAAAACGAAATTTAGCGGTAAAATTTGTCTGGAAAATAAAAATTACCTAGGTACTTGTGACTTAGTGACAATACAAATGACTGATTGGATCTTATAATCTGATTGCTAACTCCTGAGTTTTAACAAAATTACGCTTTTCTACACCAAAAAAATCTTTTGTAGAAAAGCGTGGGGTTTTTAAGATATTAGGTACTCTAGGTATGCTGGAGTACAACAAACTGGAAACTCGTAGGGACATTGCACTCGTCGAGTATGTGTATATGGAATCTAATCTGCGGTGTGGTGCATGACATAACCCAATGGCGCCGAGTGCACTCTCATTGAACTCAGCCGACGCACGGTTTTGTCAGGAGGTGGCGGTGTCGAGCTCGCCTGCCATACCGCGTGGGCGTCGAGCTCGCCTGCCATACCGCGCGGGCGTCGAGCTCGCCTGCCATACCGCGCGCACACTAACTGCACTCTGCCGGCTCACTCTAAATGAGGTTGCCGAGAGAATTGACCTCTTTTCATGCTACAGAAATGACCAGTTACATTTAAAATAATAAATATAATATTTTTATTATATTCTTACTTACTTGCCGGCAACGCATTTGCAAACCGTTCGGTGTTGCAGATGTTCATGAGCGGAGGTGATCACTTCATCAGATGAGCCTCCTGCTCCTTTAATATAATTTTTACTACCTATTTCTTTGGATTATTATATAATTTTTGGTTACACTATTGCATTGGGTCAGCCCGTATTGATAGTTGTGTGCGTGTGTGTAATAAATTAAAAAAATAAATAAATATCTCTCTTATGACTCTATTTTTACCAATATAACCATTAAAATATTATAACAATTGACACCAAGCACCCCCACGCTTTTTTACATTTAATTAAAATTTATTGAAAACTTGGAAATAATGTTACATAAAAATCACTACAATTACTAGGTACAATTCTTGTTGGTGTGATATGCTTTCTTACATACCATTTGCTCGAACCATGTTGCTACAGTACGTAGTTAGCAAAAAATGACAAAATAGGTCGAAGTGCGCTACTACGCTACCATATAAAAAGAAATGAAATAAATTCAGGTTCATTCAGAAGAAAGTTTATCTGAGGTGGAATGGAACAGACTGTCTGTGAGGTCGGTCCGGCGGCTCAGCGAGAGGCTGGGCGAGGAGCGTGCGGGCGCCTCTGAGGAGTCCAGCTCCAGCGAGGACTGGGAGCACGAGCCGGCGGATCCCACCGAGCCGGACCGCGAGCGCGGCGACGACCCCGACTCCTCCAGATCCATCGCCTCCTCCTGCGGGTGCACACACGCTGTACCGATCTTCGACCTTATTCTTATTACTATGTCTAAGGGATGGCTAGTGAGCAAGCGGTTCACTTGATAATACCTAAACGATACCGTTATCTGTAACATCTGTGGGACGCTGATGTTTTCCTACAAGAGTTAAAGACAGCGAGCCTTGCAATATGTCGTTCATCAGATGAGATGCAAATGTATAAATACGTCTACTTCACGACGCTCCCCTGTATTTTCACGTTCAGCAGTTGATACATTGCTATGCCACGTTAACATAAGTTACATTAAGAATGTGGGAGGATGATATTGTTGGCATAAATCCGTTGACCCACTGGTGCCGCCGCCGAGGTGCGCGATCGCAGGGAGCGAGTGCGGCGACCCGATGGCTCCAAGCCGTGCCAACCGTCAGCGCCCGCAAAGTCCTCGGAATCGGGAACCGCCGACGCAGCCGCGGCCTCTGTGAATAATGCCTATCATTAATAACTGATTTGCGCTCGGCAGTTGAACTATTTACTATGGAGTTAGAAAATGAATTTGTGCCCCACCGTGCGCTGCAAGCTTGTGCTGCAAGAGCGGGAAGAAGCCCCGCGCGGTGGCGTTGTGCGGCTCGTACTGCAGGATGAGGCGGCAGTACTTGAGCGCCTCCGCGTACTGGCGCCGCATGATCGCCGACAGGAACTGTTCAAAAGTTTAGAAACAACTTAATTAGGCACAGCCATTCCTATTCGGGGTTACGAATCACCTTTACGGTGGTAGGGCCACGCAGCAGCCTCGTCCGGATAAGTACCGCGACGTCACAGAAGACCGGCCTAAAGTGGAAGTGTAATACTTTCGCGTTTCGTCTGGTGAGGGAGTTGGCCGGAGCCCAATTTACAAAAGGTTGTCAACGCATCTGGAACCCTCGGGTGTAGAAGATGTCTATGGGCGGCGGTATTCATTTAACATCAGGTGAACCGTCCGCAACTTTTCACTTAAAAAAAACTACATTTGTACACTTTTGATCCTTCAAGTGCAGTTTCGAACTAACAAAACTAGCCTTACAATGGGCCCCATCTAATGAGGGGCCCAAACGATAATATTTGAATCCTAAAAATTGTCCACATTGGTAACGAAATGTTCCTAAATGGTCAGTGATATAATTTGGTCAATACTACGATGTAGTTATAAGGATGAGGATGATGATCTGCTATGAGGAACAGGAACACGAAGAGGAGGAGAAATAAGTAACAACATAATAGAATTATTCTTTTTGGGCATAATTAATTTTGGCAAAAATTAAAACAAAACCTTCCTATTTTTTTAAGATAAGAACAAATTACTTTTATAAGAAAAGTTTTTTTTCTATTATTTTGTGTAATTTTAACACAAAGTAATAGAAAAAAAACTTTTCTGAAATTCTGAAAAATAATTACATATTAATATTGTAAATTAATTTCTGGTAAATTGAATTTAATCAATAATAATTCAGATGCTGTTTCTTCTGCTGTAAACCAACCCAGTACCACTAAAAAGGCGTTCACTGGGAACACTTGATGGAGGGTCTGACAAATACTGACGTACTACTCCATGAAGTTCAAAATATTTTGGGTTCACTTTCCACCATGAAAGACTTTCTTCAGTAATATTTAGTCTCTTTCCTTTAATATAATCAGCTAACAAGGACTTAACTAAAGCATGTCTTTTTATGGGTAAGCATGATTCGTTATTTTCATCGCCTCTGTTAGGTGCTGAATTTAGCATATCAACTAACATAGAATTCAAAATCCTGTTTTCGTCAAGCGCTGCCACAGCAGTGGCCGTGGAGGTAGAAGGTCGGTTCTCGACATTCTGCGGTTACCTACGTAATTACAGAAGTCATTTAGTCGAATTTCTTTTTAATGAAAACCATTGTTTTATTGCTCCATTAAAATTAAAAATTTCTTTTAGAGTATTATATAGTCACAAAATGCAGCAAAGTAAAAAAAACTATTTTAACAAGTTGTTTAACCGGCAGATTATTTGTCACTTCCACTAAAAATTTCTCTTAATAAGAGGAAGAGAAGGAGGATTTCTTAAGTTTTTTTTTTTGTGGAAACAGATGAGGAAGAGGATTCGTAAAAAATGAGGAAGTTCCGCATTAAGAGGAAGAGGAAGAGGAATCCTTATCAACTCTGCTTTGAAACCAACTACGGACAATTTAAAATTCTGTGCCTTGTACTACTACTGCGTTAATTTTGTGACTAATTTAAATAATATTAAATCCGACCTCTCGGACTAATTAGAGCCGCCAAACTATTTGAAACTTTAGCATTCGGGCCGCTTATTAGATGGGGCTGTTACATTGGACCAAATAAGTAAAATACCTCCGCCAGGAACTCGCCGGGTGCGTCGCAGTCGGCGCGCTCCCCGCTGGCGGCCATCGGTGCGCGCCGAGCGGCCCACGCCGCGCCGCCTATGGTCGCACTCTCGACCGCCTCCTCTGCACACAACATCCCGCGAGAAGCTTAATCACATCGATCTACGTGACTGCATACTTCCACCAACATTCAATGAAACTGTATGAAGAATTGCTTATATGTATTACGACGTGGCGTAGGACTTGTTGAGCCAGCGACCTCTAACATGGATTAAGTACGTCACGTCAAAATCAGTATTTTTGTATTCAAGTAATTACATCTCCGTTCGTATAAGTCATCACTTTCACTCACATTAAATGTCCGAGCCGTGACATATTTTTAACAGACCCATGTTCCAAATATTGTCGAAAACACGTATACTATCTTTTACGGTACATAAAAACACGTTTTTGTCTTCTTGTGATATTTCAACTCTATCAGGGTGCACTACAAGATTAAATCGAAGGTGAAATGGAAACGAGGAAAAAAACAAATCATTGAAAAGTATTTTGAAGAAGTTAACAGTTGTTATCGATGAATAAAGACGTGTATAGTGGCTATGACAAAGAGGCGCAGTGGGTCGAGTGGCTGCGACGACTACACTTCATGGATTCGATATTCAACGAAGCGCATCTTGTCATCAAGTTTGAATCAAAAAAAAAAATCAAAATCATTTATTCATCGACATAAGATACTTACATTTCATTTATCAATAGTCATATTTTTTTTTTAAATCTACCACCGTTTCGTAATGAGGTTCCTCTAGCGGAGAAGAAACAGGCGAAAGAAACTCCGTAGGTATCCTCTTTTTTGTAATTATTTTTTTTTCTTTAACAAAAAATTCAAAAATTATACAACTGATTTTTTTCCTTTTAGAAATAGCTTGGGAGCGATCAACTCATTCCCAGGGGTTATTGTCATTAATGTATTCATTTGTATTATAATAACCCTTTTTATAAAGTTTTTCTTTAATAAATTTCTTAAACCTGTTAATAGGCAGGTTTTGCGCATTTACTGGGATTTTGTTGTAAAAGCGTATACACCGCCCCATGAACGAGTTACTTACTCTATGGAGTCTAGTAACTGGCATTACAAGCTTGTGTTTGTTCCTAGTGTTCACATTATGTATATCAGTATTCTTATCAAAATTATTAATATTTCTACGCACATACATAACATTTTCATATATATATTGAGAGGCTAAGGTTAATATATTTATTTCTTTAAACTTCTCTCTCAAAGATGCATTCAGATCTAGATTATAAATAGCTCTTATGGCCCTTTTTTGCAAAATAAAAATTGTTTCTATATCGGCCGCGTGCCCCCATAGCAAAATACCATATGGTATTTTGCTATGGAAATAACTAAAGTACACAATTCTAGCCGTTTTTACATCAGTTAGACATCTTATTTTCCTTATAGCATACACTGCAGAACTTAGTCTATTCGCAAGTTTGGATATATGGGGACCCCATTGAAGCTTTGCATCGAGAGTTATTCCAAGAAAGACAGTCGTATCCACAAGGCCTAACTCCCCCCCATTTATAAGTACATTGGTAGCACCCAAATGTTTAACATTAGGTGTTGAAAATTTCATACATTTAGTTTTATTACCATTTAATAGTAAATTGTTAGTATTAAACCAATAGACTATTTCTGACATAGCATTATTTACCTCGTCAAGTGTAACAAGCTGTCGATTGATTTTAAAAATTAATGATGTATCATCGGCAAATAAAACTATATCGTGTACAAAGTAAGGAAGATCATTAATGTAAATGAGAAAGAGAAATGGGCCGAGAATCGAGCCCTGCGTAACGCCCATAGATACCGTCGACCCAGAAGAACTAGCACCATTAATTACAACTTTTTGAATTCTATTAGATAGATATGACTTAATGAGGTCAAGCGCGGTACTTTTAATGCCATAATGGCGCAATTTCCTGATCAGTGTTTCATGATTCACGCAATCGAAAGCCTTGGAAAGATCACAAAAGACACCCAGAGCATCCTGTGAACTCTCCCAAGCCTCAAATATATGTTTGATCAGCTCTACACCAGCATCGGTTGTAGAACGACCCCTTGTAAAACCAAACTGGTTGTGATGTAATACTTTATTTAAGTTAAAATGTGTTAACAGCTGATCTAGAAGAAGTTTTTCGAAAATTTTACTAAGTGTTGGTAGTATAGAAATGGGTCTAAAATTAGAGGGGTCCGAAGTACTACCGGATTTAAATACAGGTATGACTTTACTGTGTTTCATGAGATTACAAATAAGGTGCGATTGAATCTATTATTGAGGCAGTCACTTCAACGGACATTCCCCATAGATCTGCCGTTTTCTTAAGTTCAATGGTCTTAAACATTTTTATAATATCTTTTGCATATACAGCCTGAAATTTAAAGATTGTGGTGCAAGCACTTACATTTTCCTTAAGTAATGTCTCGGCAACAGCAGGAGAAGAATTCAGCGACAATGTAGTTAAAGTAGGAATCTCACTAAAGAATTTTTCAAATACTTCAGCTACCTCCTGATTAGTCGTTATACATTTATTATCAATGTTGAGCTGGTAGTCAGACCTACGTGATTTGGTTTTTCCTGTTTCGAGAATCTAAATCGTGTTCATATGCTTGTCAATTTTTTTTTTCATTTTTATATCTACAAGTTAAATCCTCTATCAAAGTGAGGAGTACAGTGAAAAATTGAAGACGAAAGGAGATTCGCATATAATTTAATATATAATATAATAAGATATTTACATATCTACTGGTACATTCATTCGTCTAATTTAATTTAAATTTTTTTTTTTGTTTACAATCTTTATTGATCTAATATTTACAAGATTAAATCTATCTAAAATTACATATTATCTAATAAACCTAATCCACGCGGCATGGTGCCAAGAACGCGTTAAGCCTAGGACATAAACTTTTAAAAAATTTTGATATGCGGGGACCCCACGGACCTAATGTTTCAACAGCAAATGGCACAAATACATAATCTAAACATAAAGAAATAATAAACCAATTTAAGCTTTGTTAAGTATAACCTGTGGACTAATTAACCAAGACCATTCTGTTACATTTGGCGTTTTTTTTTTTTCTAATTATACCAGCCTTTATAATTGTAATCGTAATAAACCATTCAATAGGTTCATCGTTTCTTTTATTACTCTATAGTGAAAGAATACAAATACGGGATAATCTTTGTGTTGATGTCGGACATCACTCGCTATTAGTAGTATTTTGCGCTATAACCACACTGAATTGGTGATTGATGGTTGGCTGTTTTTTAATTTAGGTCTGATCTTTCATCTATATATGTACAAAAATTTACTCCATAAGTAAATTTACTTAGAGTTTAGAATTACAATATCTGTGCTACGAACGTAGACATGATTTTCGTGATTCCAAAGGATTGAAAAGAAGTTGAAAGTTGTTGAAAGAGGTCATGGTCATGACGGAACGGTATTTTCCAATTTCCATCATTTAAATGCTAGACAAAGTCAAGAGCCGTAGTATTATTGCTATTTAATTAGTCACAAGATACAACCGACAGTTTAGAAGACTATAGGCTTACATCTCGCAACCACTTGAACACGTAGCCGCTACTTCTATAAACATTTTCCTGCCAGCTCATGTGAACTACTACTTTATATAAATAACTAAAATGTACCGTTTTATCACAAAATATTGTATTCAATAACAGAACAAGAAGTCTAATTATTTCTTATCTAGACTTGATTATCGAAATAAGATTATTTAATATTGATGACGTAGATTATTCTAAGACATTATCTCATACAAGTTTGGGGTCGGCACAACATATTATTTCCTTCTACTCTATTAACAGTTATTTTATATACGGTGAGTATTTCACAGAAATATCATTCTTCACATAGTCTATCAAATTTTCACTGCAGTCTTCATCAGTTAGCGTTTGATGAAGAGATTATTCAGAGTCAAATTATGAGAGTCTGGGTTGTACTTAAGATAAAAGCGAAAGTTGGAGGCCACTACGGAGTGCTATGTATCCCCAAACATTTTAATGTATATGATATTTTGTATATGAGGTTTGTAGTAGACATATTAGCAGTGTTTGAATTTGTTGGTAATTGCGCTTGATAATCGCCATTTCACTTGTGTAAAAATGATTTGGCAACAGGTAGTTTCCACAGTCCAAAGTCAACGAAGGGAGGCCGTTGCTCTTTCTAACTTTTTATATTACAATTATTCCGCCATTAATCTTACTGGTGACTTTAAATCAAATCATCTTTACTTGCAGAAATATAGTAAATAAACTTTTCCAATAATATTAAAGTACAGAGATATATTTGACCTCATTTCACAAATAATATAAATAATACATGTTTCAATTAAAATCTATTAAGTAGAATCTTTTAAAACAAAATGAACAAATATTAAACCAATTTAGTAAATTAAATTGCATATTCGATTCGATGCTGCTATTTCGATGATTCGTTTGTATGATTACCCGGAATCGGACTAGTAAAACCATAAAAGATCTCTGTCTCATGAAGCCTGTACTAACGGGCTTTTCATAGAGAAAGCGCTGGTACGGGCCCCCGCCGCGGGCCAGACCACCGCAAATAGCATTAATGTTAAGCGGCTTATCTCCCTGTTAGCTTATTCAGTCTTTCATTGAAAGCTCTATAAGGAATGGTGCAAACGGCCCAAGTGTCCACTACACTGTTGTTTGCGCTAGGCCCCTTTTTATAATTTTTTCAACAAGTAAAATGAAATATAACACTATATCTATATTATTATATTATCGTTTATATTAGACAGTACCTGGATGACCGACTGAACTTAAAAAAAAGGGAATGTAATAATCATCTTGACTCGAACCGGGGTCTTCAGGTTTCGGGACGGCCCGATCTCACACCTGAGCTAACCTTGTCAATGGTGGCGAAATTTACCTTCTTATTCTAATGATATTGTAGCAGTTTTTCATGCCCTTAAACACGGATAAAACGACATTTTCTAAAAATGAAACCTAGCTAAATAGGTTTATCGCCTCATTATGCTTAATTTCATGAAAATCGTTGGAATACGTTCCGAGATTCAAATTATAT